TGGTTCTCGGAACTAAAATCCTGGCTCGTCTTCTTGTCGTCCATGGTTCTGCATATGTGAAGAAGTTCACAGAGTCAAGTGGTGGCTTTGTTGTCATGCGCTATCGATTAAAGCGGTGGTGGGATATACCTACGCTTTATTCCATCATCTTCAGCATTCTCTTCAACTACGACGTAGCTGAGATTGATTTTGAAAGGTCATTTGATCTATTCAGCCTTTCTGAACTGTTTGGGCGTAAGCCCTTGGTATATCCTGACGTGCTTCCAATTATTGTGTCCATGCTACAGCAAGGGCTTAATACTTTGGTTCATAACCAAGATAATCCCGGTTCGCCCCATCCTGATAAGAACAACGGCCCTGCTGCAGGTCAGTTAAAAGTGCCAACCCTAGGATCGCGACGGAGATCAATGTCCCTGACAAAAGAATTGGAGGCGCGACGTAAGTTCATATTCACACCCTTTCTCCCTGACAGCCTCCTAATTGTTATTTTCAGAACTAGCAACATCTTCCACAGACAAGCTTGGTGGCCAGGCAACTGTGCTCCATGCAGTTATCCGGTTCTTATCGTATCTCCACGAACAGTCTCAGAATTTCCGTGATTTTGCTATCGCCTCTGAGTACGTGCGGCTCCTTTTTGCTGTTCTCTTCCCGGCGGTAGTCAATGCAGACGCTGTCAGCCCTGAAACCGAACTAAATCCACGTGATTCCGCTCTTACATTCGATGGGGAAGATGTTATCATCCGCCCGGCGCAACAAGGGTTATCGGCGCCATCTCCGGTTGTCCGTACCACTACCGTCGAAACACATCTCGGTCAAGATGTACACGGGACCAGCTCTAAAGCAAAACCGCTTCGACGTGGCTCATCCTTTATACTGCTAACAGCAAACCGCCCTGCCTTGTCACCATCCCCGGCAAAGTTAACGGGAATAGGTAATCCACAGAATGCAGTTCTACCTCAAAAAGTCGGCAATGCTGTTGTTGAGGAGCTACTGGAACTCACTATAAATGTGTTTCTTGATCAGATTCTTGAGCGTAAAGAATTCCCAGGCTTTGGCTTGTTTCTCAAAGTGCCACCAGGGTTCCAGGAACACCAAGCATATTTCGAATCATACATATTGCGGAATACAATATCACACGTCTCCAATACGATACAGTTACAAACCAAGTTATTAATACAACCAAAAATCATAACAAACATGGCCCGTTTCACAACTCATATCACGGAGGCAATTTTTGAAGGATGGTTCATTGGCGGCGCGGAGCCATTTTTGGATTTTGCTGGACACCTGCTGGACTATTTCCAACAACGAGAAACGTCAAAGATTAAAAGTGTTCGGCTTTGCAACCAAGCGATCCAAACTATTCGCAGCACGTTCCTGCGGGTTGTGCTTTTACGCTTGTCCGAAATCGATGCTGCGGGCGTTACCGAAGAGGAAGCCGCCCCGTTTATGAACAAGTTGCTTTACTGGCAGACAATTTTCCTCTCAGCTGAGGCTAGTGAAGGCGAGTTCTTGAAGCTCATGTGTTACCAACTGTACATGAAGTTGGTTGACCCGCGCCAGAAAATATGCTCAGCTGCGGCAGACCTATGGCGTATTTTACTTGTTCAAAAACCGGATGAAACATCTGCGATCTTGGTGATGTCTATGGACAAACAAAGGCTGATTTTAGGGTTCAAGAGGTTAATGGAACTCGACAACGAATCGTTTGTCGAGTGGGTCAGTGACCATCGAGATGAACTCGACAAACCGTTTTTTGGCGCACTGTCCAAAACATGGGAAGATTTTGTTAATGCCGAAAACGGGAAAACGGAAGAGGCATTAAAGACACGCCTGACCAAGCGCAAGGATAGGTTGAGGCAATGGCAGGCAGAGGACAGGAATGATGCGGATGTTATGCTACGCCATGACCTTACATCCAATCTTTGGGGGAAGAACATCTACGCCGCTGAGCACCTGAAACACCAGAGGACAATGCAGGATCAGCAAGAAAACCTTACGTTCCTGATTAATTCATTTATAAAGATGGGCCGAGACTTGCATAGGACGTGTGGCGTTTTCGACAACGGTGTGCCGTGTAAGTGGAGGTTGGATCAAACTGAAGGTCGTAACAGGATGAGGCTTCGTTTAATTCCTGATCGACCCAGCTCCGAAGAGTATCAACCTAAGAGGAGAAACAATGGGCCAGAACCAGCCATCAAACCCAATACTCAACTTGGGCCAGCATCAGCTACTGCAGACGTCGCCGCGACACCAATATCTACCGCCACCCCTGCACCAGATGGGTCCCAGGATTCGTCAAGCGGTGTTTCAGCCATCGGTTCTGGCAAGCAAGAACCAGAAGACGCAGCGAGCGTCGTTGGAGAGGAAGACTTTGAACTTATTGATGATCCAAATGATAATGACGACAACTTTGAAGATAAGCAGAGGAAGGTTATGAGAAGTCTAGAACGTGGGGATCAGGTCCAGCACGTTTTCAACATATCTCGGATTATTGGTCTTGAGGCTTGTGAAGGGCTTCTAATACTTGGAAAGGACTCGCTCTATCTCATTGACGACTTCTTCCAGCGATCTGATTTGGAGATTGTCGATGTATGGAATGCGCCCGCTGACGAAAGAGACCCATACGTTCAGATGATTTCGGGGAAGGAAATCAAAGAAAAGCCATCGAAAAGCACAGGCGAGCAAGAAAGTCGCAGCTGGAAATGGAGCGAGGTACTGAGCGTTTCCAAGCGCAGGTTTCTGTTCCGCGATGTCGCCGTGGAGGTTTTTTTCACTGATGGGAGAAGTTATCTTGTAACTGCCTTGAATCCGGTGCTTCGAAATGATCTTTACTCTACGATGACAAGCAAGGCACCGCACCCCAGCGATAAATCGTCGCCTGCCGATGGAGAAGATGCGTGGCGAATGGAGGCGCTGAAGGCCCCCGACGAGACACCCACAACGCTCAGTTCCCGACTCGCTGGCCTAATGAACTCATCTCCCTGGAACCCTACGATGCGTAGGTGGGCCAAAGGTGAGATATCCAACTTTCACTACCTGATGCTAGTGAACACCATGGCCGGACGCACATTCAACGATTTGACTCAGTACCCGGTGTTCCCGTGGGTTATTGCAGATTATACCAGCGAAGAGCTTGACTGGGATAATCCAGCAACATTCCGTGACCTTTCGAAACCCATGGGATGCCAGCATCTCAGCAGGGCAGCTGATTTCGTGGAAAGGTATAAAACCTTTGCGGAAATGGGCGAACAGAATCCGTTCCACTATGGCACGCATTATACTTCTGCTATGATTGTGGCTTCGTATTTAATCAGATTACAGCCGTTTGTCCAATCGTATCTCTTGATCCAAGGGGGTAACTTCGACCACCCTGATCGCATGTTTTATTCGATAGAAAAGGCATGGAAATCAGCATCGCGGGACAATATGACTGATGTGAGGGAGCTGACACCGGAGTTTTTCTGTCTGCCTGAATTCCTTACCAATAGTAACGGCTTCAATTTCGGATTACGGCAGGGTACTGGCGGTTCTATCGACAACGTCGAATTACCGCCTTGGGCTAAAGGCGACCCCAAAATATTCATTGCAAAGAATAGAGAAGCACTCGAGAGCCCGTACGCCAGCGCCCACCTTCATGAGTGGATCGATCTCGTCTTTGGCTGCAAGCAAAATGGCGAGGCTGCAATCGAGAACGTAAATGTATTCCACCACTTATCATACCGTGGTGCAACGGATCTAGACGCAATACAAGACCGCCACGAGAAGTTACAGACCATCAGCATAATTCACAACTTTGGCCAAACTCCTCACCAAGTCTTCTCAAAGCCACATCAATCTCGCGACGACTGGAAAAATAATCCACGTCGGCTTGACACAACCGCAAGTTCTCTTACGCGCCTTCCATTTCCACTATTTGAGCATCCTGACAAAATAACCTCTTTGACCTACGCACCTAAGCTCGATCGATTACTCTGTGGCTCGGCCTTCCGCTTGAATATGCCGTCACTATTTGATAAATACATGGAATGGGGCTTCGCAGACAACAGCGTGCGATTCTACGCGGCAGAGTCAAAAAAGCTACTCGGCTTGTTTGAGAACTTGCACCAGGGCCAGCTCTCATCAGCGATGTTTGTAGACTCTAAAACTCTGGTCACAGCAGGAGTTGACTGTGTGCTCTCCGTATGGAGGACGACCGTCTCGCCAAATGCCAAGTCTGTGGACCTCGCTCCTATGACTAGCCTCTTTGGGCATACGCAGCCCGTTTCTACTATAGCAGTGAGCAAGAGCTTCAGCACGATCCTATCGGCATCGATTGATGGCGTCGTCCTATTATGGGATCTTAACTGCCTCGAATTCGTGCTTAAGCTCGCCTCGGGCCGCGCTGTGCAGTGTGCGCAGATCAACTCCGTCACCGGTGATATCCTCCTCTGCCGTGGGCAGCGAGCCGCGCTATACACGCTTAATGGTGACTTAATGGTCGACCAGAATATCTGCACCGACCCGGATGACTACGTACATTCTTGCGCATTCTACGAGGGTGCAGGCAACGAATGGCTTGTGAACACGTTGGTCTTTACCGGACATCGGCGTGGTGTGGTAAATTGCTGGCGCAAGTGTGTGGGAGCGAATGGGAAGTGGAATCTAGAGCTAGTGAAGCGGCTCGATCATGTCGACCAGAGAAAGGGAGGAGAGAGGACCCCAGGCACGATCACTGCTCTGACGCCAATGCCTACTGGATTATATACTGGAGACGAAGATGGCAAGGCTGTAGGTTTTGACGTCACGACTCAAATAGTTTCAGGACAAATACTAATTTCAGCCAGTACGAATGGACCTGTGTGCAAAGGGCAGTTGGGACCGTACGTTCATGAAGTCATTGATCACGTACGTTAAGGGGTCCAGTACTGTATGGAATCGGCGCGAATCCATGGGAGGGACCGTTGGAGCTAGCTGTACGTAGAGAATGTGGGGCATATATCTCTCTAGCGTCTGTAAAAATATAAAACTAAATCAATTAGACTTTAAAGCAGTGGCGTGACATCACGCTACATGTCGGTAGATGTCATTTTTCTCAGTTTCTGACAGCTACTGTCACGGTAGCCTGCAGTTAGCTCAAAGTAGCTCACGGGTAGCTCACAATAGTTCTCCCCCGGGAGACCCACAGCAGTCAAAGTTATCACAATGGCTCAATTCGGTCATAGAGGCAATAGCTCTCCAATAGCCACAAGCCATAGTAGTTAACAGTAGTTAAATAGGCAAGTGCAAACGTGGGATGATTTGAATATGATTTATATCACCACCCCGAACACACATCGTCGAACGAACCTCCTGCACCACACATCATGTCTTCCATGCCACAGCATAATTACATGATTGAAGACCCCTTGTCTGAGTCTCCAGGAATGCTGGGGGAGGCATCCATTTTCTTTCATGACGGGATGGACGAAGAAGAACTCTTTCTTACCCCGCTCAATGGGGATAATATGCTCCAGTTCAATGAGCAACCATGGCAAAACCCAGACATAATGACCGGCAACAGCACTTCAGCACAATCATGGCCAGTCTCGGCGGACATGACCCGCAACGACTCTTCGGCCACGTCTCAAAGCCATCAGTCGAATCAGTCGTTCAATTTTCCCGCGACAGCTGAAGAGGTGCAAACGACAGCTCTTCGTTCCGTCGAATTGCCACTGAAGACCTCAGCGTCGCCGTCTCCAGCAAGCTTGCTCGCCAGCACATCTACTTCGGGTATGCGGACAAGAAAGCGCAAAACATCGCCTCTCACTGATGACGACGAAGAGGAAGACGGGACCCCTGAATCGCCACCACAGAAGCCACCCATGAAGAAAACCGCCCACAACATGATTGAGAAGCGGTATCGAACAAACCTGAACGATAAAATTGCAGCGTTGAGACAGAGCGTCCCGAGTCTCCGAGCCACGGAAAAGAACCTGGGTGCGGGTGGGAAAGGGGCCAGAAATTTGGTCAATGTCATGGAGGACTTGGATGGATTGATCCCACCGAACAAGCTGAACAAGGTGCGCTTCACTTCGTTTCATAACTGTTTTGACCTAACACAAGAATAGGCTACGATCCTTTCCAAAGCCACGGAATATATTGGCCATCTCGAGCGCCGCAACAAATCTCTCCAGAGTGAGAAGGCGTCTCTCCTTGATCGTATCAGTACGTTTGAGAATCTTCTCCTTGGGAGGAAACATCATGGCCAACAGATATACCATCCGGACCAGCTCCTTATGCAGCAGCACCAAATGATGGACCGCGGCAATGCCAATCAACGCCCCAACAGAAATTAGTTGCTGTTGGAGGCCACGGGGGACTATGCGTATCAGCGTTGTTTACAGGTTCACAGTAACCTCTTGTTTTAATAATATTTCTCAGTCACACGGTTTAAACCTGTGTCAGCTAGTTAAAATACACACGCTGTCCCTTTGACCACGGGAACCTTCTTCTTGGCCAGTGCTTCCTCTCTCCAAGCCCACATAGCTGTCATCGCAGCTCCTGGACCAACTAGAAGTGATAAACCGGCCATTGTCCCAATAATCTTCGCCCAGCCCGCCTCGACCTTCTTCGACTTCTTCAGGTCACGGAAGCTCAGCAGCGTCCAGACAGCCCCGGCACTAAATGCATGGATCTGATCGTACCTGAAAGTCTTGGAAAGTCTCTGGAACAGCGGCACGGCAGCCCCGGGGTTCCTGATGCCCTCGAGGAACACTTCCGTCGCCGACACGGGGGACTTAAAGCGGACGTATAAGAACGCACAGGCTGCGGCCACTCCAGCAAAGCCGTAAACTTGGCGGAGGTATGGCATATCTGCCTCGGGGCTGTCGATGCGATCTCTGTAGGTAGTGTCCTTGGCGAACATTCCGAGGACGCGCTGGAGAATGGCAGCGTAAACGGGGAATGGCTGCCGCGAACATGGCGACGGTGGGGGCGACGTAAGACAGGAGGATAGTGGGGATGATGGTCTTGACGGCGCCGATTTGGGTGAGTCGGTTGTCCGATGCATGGTAGTTCTCCAATGGGGACTGGACGTAGTGTAGGAAGAAGTAAACTGGCGCTATGTGGCCAATACCATGGAGTTGGAAAAAGATGCCAAAAATTGTCGGCCTATTGAGGGTGAGTTATTGGTCATTATGAGACATATTTGTACTTACAATAGGTGAGATGCAGTGAGTAAGTTACCGCGTCTAACACCCTCTATCATCCATATGGCTTGGATGGGAATGAGGTCTCCCAGTAGTGATATCATTTGCATACGGCTGGCAGGGTCCTGTCCGCCGATTGATGGAGTAAAGGCCGCGACAGAGATGGCAATGAAGTCATCAAAGCCCTTGAGACCGAAATATCGGGTGACCAAAGGCACCACTTGCCCGTCGCCCAGAGCCACCTCGCCAGCTCTGGCCGCGTTCTTGAGCAAAGGAAGGGCGGGGCCTAATGCCGGGCCCATGGTATTCGCACAACCATATAAGATGGCGAGAAGGGGAAGAGCATATAGTGCTCGGAGCAATTTGCTTTCGTGCTTTCCAATGCCAGACTCGGGATCCCAGGGCATTGTCGCTTCCAGGGACCTAGCTGGCGGAGGTAGGCTATCCAGAATTTCTGCTCCAACCATCGAATCGCAGGCCACGTTGGCCAAGAAGTCGCCCAAAGCAGGTATATTATGAATCGCCATTATTTTATCAGCCAGTGTTGCCAATGCTTCGATTCGGGTTAAATAATTGGCCGATTTAATGGTGGCGTTGGCGCGTTCGTGGCGCTTCACGTAAAATTCTTTCAGTACCGTTCGAACCTCATCCATCGATGGGCTTGTGCTCTTGAGCTTTGAGATGCTGTTGGCCAGTGCTGCGGCACTCTCGATAGCTGCATTGCCGCCAGCTCCCAAGTTGGGGGTCATCTGTTATATGTCAATTTTATGTGCTAACATCATTTCAGAATCTAGTCAGTATACCTTGTGTATTGAATCTCCCAAGCACACAAATCTGTCCGAAATCCAATGTTGATTCTCAGATTCTTCAAGGGGGCTCATGTTTGCGAATGTACGCTTCTCCCACACTTGTCTGAATTTGACGGAGTCGGTCATGCAGATGTCAAGGAAGGGCTTTACGGCTTCGTCCATATCGGCCTTCGAGTATTTAGGTATATCCTTGCCGTGGTATCTTTTGTCCAGCTTTGAAAAGAAGAAGAAGTACATAGATCCACCTCGTCCTACAAAGGACAGGGTTGAATAACCCTTGGTGTATGTCCTGTGTGAGTCTCCCGGGTGGAGTACTCCTTTAACAGAACTTCCAAGCCCGAAAATGCAACTATACTCCGCAGAGATACTATTGCTGTCTTTCTTTGTGGCGCCGGGACTCGACAGCTCGATGTGCTGCATCATCAGCGTTCTCACGGTGCTGTGTATTCCATCTGCACCAACAACAATGTCCCCAGAGTATTTCGATCCGTCTTGACAGTGCACGATAACCCCGGAATCTTGGTGGTCCACCTTGCATACTCGTTTGGATGTGTGAATCTTTGACTTGTCCGGGGTGTGGGTGTAGAGAACCTTCAATAAATCGCGTCGCTGGAGAAACGAGACCGGGTATCCCGTTCTCAGTTACTATCAGCATATTATTCCAAGTGGAGATAACAGCACCATGTTTCTAAGTAGACGAGGCGAATTGCTGTCCACAATCAGCTTCCCGTCACATCCCGTCCATGTCAAGCTGTTTTCCAGCGGCTCTACCAAGCCAAACATATCGTCAAAGATGCCTAGCTGGTCGAGGATCCTCGAACCGTTGGGAAGGACGGCAATTGAAGCGCCAACTTGCGGCGCAATCTCGTCGCGAGACTCTAGAACCACGTAATCAATGTCGCTGCAATAAAGAGAGTGAGCCAGCACCAATCCCGAAATCGATCCTCCCGCAATAATGACGCGCAGACGGTCCTTCTTTCCCTCAGTTGAGGATCGAGCAGGCGCCATGATGGGATAGTTCGTATATCGAGAGTAACTTAGCTGGGAGCCTGGTTCGCCGCACTTTGTTGGAAAAGGGCGACCAGGACATTTTAAGATCCAGGGACAAATAGGAAATATACTACCTGTCCTCTTGTAACGCGTGGTTGTCAGTGCTACAATCATTGTTGCAATCCCGGCCCCAAATCGTGTCGCCGCAGGCACGTGACGTAAGCCACCACCACGTACCTGGCGGGCTGCGCCAGGCAAAGCCGGGCGCCAAGATTGGCACCAGTTCAGAAGCAGGGCGTAGCCGGGCGTAGCTTGGCCAAAGCCGGGCGTTGAGTTGGGCGTAGCTTCGCCAAAGCCGGGCGTTGAGCTAAGCAGATCGCTCGGCCCAACTGAGCGTCAGGCCTGAGCTAGTACGTAGGCCCAGTAGATAGCTCTTCAATTCAGTCAATTTCCTACTGTCCAATACTGCCTATATATTATACTATAATTACTCCTATTCCGATGAAGCGTTGCCGTACGCACCCAAAGTGAGAACTCCGCTCGGCTGTGGGATATTACCCGATTACCAGCCAAAATCACGAGTTAAGAGATTTACACCCAAAATATATACGTTTCCCACTCTCAACTATGCACCTGCGATAATTTTGCTCTGTACAATGGACCAAGCCCTCGAATTCCTCTGCGAGAACCCTTCCAAAAAGCCAATCACCGCCGCTCGAATTTATAATGTTAATACGAAGACGCTTAATTCCTATACTCGAGAGCGAAGTTGAAAGCCGCCGAAGCCCCAATATCGCCTGCTATTTCTAAACGCAGAGGACAAAATAAGATACTCTCGGAGGTACAAATTAAGGCGATATACAAATATGTCGAAGATTCGTATCATGCGGGTTACGGGGCATCAAGAGCAATGGTTTTTGCAGCAATTGGCCACTTGCAGGTGGCAGAAATACCACCAAAACCAGCGCTTTCGTGGCGCTGGTTTCAGGGCTTTATAAAAAGCCATTCTAACCTTTTTCGAGTCGTTAAAACGAAAGCGATTGCTTGAGTTTGAGTTACAAAACATGATATTTTGGCGGTAGAGGACTGGTTTTTAGTATATTTGTCATGGTGTATCCAACATGATATCCAGCTACAAAACGTCTATAACTTTGATGAAACTGGCTTTCGTGTTAGAGTAGTGCTAGGGGAGGAGGTAATACTTCCTATATATATTACAGAGGTGTGTACAATTAGTTATCGTCATTGAAATATAATTGAACTGACACTACTAAGATGTATGTTCCAATGGCCGAAAATCGCAGGTCTATTTACTATAATCGAGTCAATCTGTGCAATTGGATGATTCCACTAGTGTTAGTATACAAGGATAACAACATATAGAGTCCTGGTATCATGAAAAGCTAAGCGACGACGACTTATATTGCTCTCTGATTCTGGATATACAAATGGCAAACTGGCAATGCTTTATTTAGAGCATTTCATTAAACATTCTAATGCTAGGCATAATAAACCATTAAAAGTCCTTCTTATAGATAGCCATATCAGTCATACAATACCCGAGTTTGTCATATGAGCAACAGCGATGAATATTCATCCATATCCGCTCCTGTCACATCTTACACATATTATGCAGCCGCTTGATGTTGGTATTTTTCAGCCTTACAAACACTGGCATAAGAAGGCAATTCAATATGCAATGCGAAATCTTGATATTGATTACAGTATTGCTTCATTTTTTTCGAGACTTAGGCAAAATCTGCTAGGAAACATGTAAGAAAGGCACAATTATAGGAGCATTTCGTGAGGCTGTAATGTAGCTAATAAACCCTAAAGAAGCCTTGAAAAAAATGAAGGTATATACACTGTCTAAAAAGGCTCTAGACACAAATTCCAAACCACAACTAAGGTTTTAAACTGCAGACAAGTCTGATAGGCAGAAACACCCATAGCCTACAACTTCACGATTACATATCACAAGGGCTCTAAGAATGCAAGAGCAGACACTCTTAGCAGAAGGACTGACTAATGGAACCTGCCTTTAAGGAGGGGGATAAAGTATATCTACTCCAGAAACACATCAAAACGAAACAACCAAGTACAAAGTTGGACTTCAAAAAATTAGGACCATTCAAAATATTAATCAAAGTCAGCTTAGTTAATTACAGACTACAGCTACCTAAGAAGTCTAGACTACACCTGGTATTTCATGTCTCACTATTAGAACCAGCAAGAGTAAACACCCTGATTGTGACCGATATAGAACTCTAACTAGAAAATGAGATCACTGAATATGAAGTTGAAGCAATCCTAGACAGAAGGTTAGTAGGACGCAAGGAAGAGTTTTTGATAAAATGGAAAGGTTATGAACCTACAGACAATTTATAGGAAATGGTAGAAAACCTTAGCTGTCTAGAGTTGCTAGAGGCATTTCACCGTCGACACCCTAATATTTAAAGAAGCTAGGAGACAGGTGTTACGGCTATAGTAACATGATATCATGGTTACAGGGCCAGGGCCTAGTAACGTGACGTGTGAGTCACAGTGGGAAGCGGGGTAGGCTGCCATGTGACGGGGCTAATGGATAGTTGCAGAAACTAGTGGATATTGGATAGTTGAGCTATCCACGAACTATCCTGAATATCTAGCTATCCACCAACTATCCAGATTACCCATGAGGCACGACGCCACTATATAAGTAGATAGTATTTCCTTAGATAGGAGCTTCGTGCTCAACTCAATATAGTATTCTTTACAATACTGTAATGTGTTACTTGGAAAGCCTTTGTGTCTAATCCCCTGCCTCCTCTGTCAAGTCAACCTTACGCAAGAAACCTCTGTGTCTTCTATCGTTTAGAAGTCAGCGTTACAACAGGACTGTAAAGAGATCCTAGTTAGGGGCAACGCCCTTAGAGATGGTAGTAGGAGGACTGTGCGAGGAAGGCCCTTTGGTCTCTACCTCCCTACGCTCCCTCTCCTCTGCCTCATCTAGCTCATTAAGGGTCTTTAGACCATGACAGACCTCTCCTCCTCGACTTTTCAATAAACATTGTTGCTTGGAAACATGGAGCTTCCTTGCCATGGCCTCTTGTGCCTAGGAAATAGCAAGCTCCATTTCTCACGACAAGCGTTCCTAGTGTCTAAGAGAAGGAAAAGATAAGGATATGCCGTCCTCGCCACTAACGCCTATCTAACATGCTTGGAAGACTAGAAGATATTTACTTGATATCTTTCAAGCTACTTGTCAAGACCCCATAAATACTATAGATATTAGTAGGTCTAGCCGGCCTCATCAAGCAAGGTAGAGAGATGTTCTTAAGCATATATAATAGATAATAGCATTCTGATAATCTTCTGATAATCGTAGTACTTAGATAGAGGAATATACATGATTCGTTCTCACAGCTTACTAGAGATGGCAAGAGTGATGCTGATAGATGTAATACTTTAACTTAACCATAAAACAGTATTAATTGTATGAGGGACTGTTCACATGGTGCATAAATCTTACATGTGATAGCTGAGTACTCACTGGGGTTTTACAGAGTAACTGAGTATTGACCTCACTCACCAAGTCGAGTAAAAGGTTCAGCTACTCACCTATCTGAGTAACCCACTAAGCGAGTGAGCCGAGTATTGAGTGAGTGGTGCGCAGCCTATCTGGTACTGACCATCCTCCAATCTGACCTCCTTCAATTGGTTCAAGACTCACTCTTCACATGTTTTCGCTAGTGTATCTGTAAAATAGTGGTTGATTGTTTGAAGGATACCACTTCTTTCATCAGCTATGATCTGGCTAAGTTGCACAATGGCAGCGGCGTGTGCAGCATTAAAAGGTAAGATTATGCGCCTCAATTTTAGCATGAAGGACATCCTCTGGAACAAGGCTTTCTAGGAGCACCTGGTTAAAGTTGCGAACGATCTCCTTAACTTTGACTACATGCTGTTCTGCTAGAGGCCCCCAACATATGGACTCTGCTGGAACAAACTCTCGAGGACGACTGGGTTGACGGTGCCAGGCAACTCCACTCCACATGACTGTCGATATTGGTTGAGAATCCAATCATTGATGTTCTTGTTCTTCAAATGCTTTTCAAAGGGACCACAGCCAAAAGACTTATCGATGGTACCATCAACCATATTAAATGGCCTAGTATGTCCGCATGACTCTATCGATCTACCAAAAGCCTCGTTGGCATTTTAGATATGCATTCTGAGCTTGAGATGATGCTCGGGCTCTAGGTCAGAGTCGTAATGACCAGATAGGCTGTCAATTGCTGTTCTCTGATATGTGGCTACTAGCTGGGTCAGGTACTGCCGCTGTTCCATAAATGTCTGTCAAGAAGGCCCTAGTGCGTTGAGCTCATCGTGGCATCCATGGACGAGCTTTCGAATTTCTTGAATGAGCCTCGAAGAACTTCTTATACTGTAACGTGTTACTTAGAAAGCCTTTGTGTTTAATCCCCTGCCTCCTCTGTTAAGTCAACCTTACGCAAGAAACCTCTGTGTCTTCTATTGTTTAGAAGTTACTGTTACATGTTCTTGTATTTTTATCTTGTTTGTCTCATTGTTAACAATGATTTAGGCTGTATAGAAATGCACTAATGCCACTCCCCTAGCATAAGTAGTACTCCTTCTGTAATTCCTCATTACTAACGATAATTCAGACACCCCTACCAGCCTTGACAATGAGGACTTGCTGCCCTATAGCTGTAAGTGGAGCCATGCTATAGTAGAGTTTGCAGGTGTTGTAGGTGCTAAAGCAGCATTTGACGACTGCTTAATTTGGCTTGTACTTTAACTAAAACTAAAGTCTTCATATGCATTCTAAGCTTGTAACTCGTCGGCTAATAATTGCTGTGTTGCTGTAAGAAGATCCTCATCTTCAAAATCCTCGTCTTCAAAATCCTCATTCTTAGCAATTGTATCTATCTTAAGTAAAAGGTAAGTAAGAGAAAGGTGCTCCCTTGCAACTAAAGAGGAATCCTCGCTACTAACAAGGAATAGCCCTAATCCTTGCTAACAACGAGACTTTTGTACTGTCCTATTAAATATATATAGGCATTATTATTAAATAACTTAATAAAATAATCTAGGTATAATTATATTAAAAATGTCGCTCCTATCAAGAGAGAAGAAGATGTCTTCAAATGCTCGTTTACAACAAGAAATTAACGCTGGCCACACATCAATTAAATCATTTATTCCACCTAAAAATATAATTGATTCTGATACAAGAACAATTACTAAGAAACACTGACTTCTAAGCTGGGCTAATGCCTTTAACCTAGCTATATATGAAGCTGAAAGGTATTATATTATTATATTTACATATATATAGGTGCTAAAGGTATAATAGCAAGAAATATTTCGTTCTTATCAAGGAATCCTACAAACTTGTTGTTCTAAATGAGCCAAAAAGGAAGAGGGACAATGTAGGCAAAGAACCTAAAAGGGTCATTAAGAACGAGGAAAGTCAAAGAGTAGAGTCACCTACCATTTAGCAACCTCAGCTACTCCACCTACCACCAGCCTTATCAAAAAGGCTCGCTACTAATGACAAAGAGAATTATATAGAGCTTGATTCCCTTAATAAAGGAGAGCTTGTTCTTATTTCCTCAATTCCCATTCCACCATCAAAAACATATCAAGCATATAGGGAATTACCACAGCTTATCCTCGACTAGGACGAGGGAAAAACCCTCATTATTAACGACTAAAGTATACACTCAAGTATTGGAAGATACTTACTAGAAGGTAATTAAGAATAACTAGTGTTAATGGAGGGTAAGCTACTCTAACACACCTTATTACCTCCATGCTAACGTATATATTAGTTTGTTTATTACTCATTTGTTGCATGCTAGAGAGATTGGAAGGTATTTTAGGAGAAGTATGGCAAGTTCTCATCTGTAACGAGACTCTACAGTACCCTCTAGGAGGAGCAACAGCAGCTGATAAAGCTGATGTAGATATAGCAAGGAGGTTGATTTTACAGCTACTTATATGCATCGTGGGGCATGAGGGAAATGTAATGGTGGGTGCACCAGATGTGAGAATCTAGCCACCCAAGGAAGGGATGATTTTACTAAGACAACACACTGTCTTAGGAAACAGAGCCAAAGGGTTGTAGCTTAGACTATTCCACAACGCAGCAATCAGGTGTGTGATGTAGTGAAGTGGTTCAGACAAGTTGCAACAAATGTTGAGTCTGGGAACTCAGGGGTAAGTCAGAGGTTAACACCTCACTGACTTTTCAGAAACAAGGAGTAACAAGATGAATGCTTGGAAGCTTGTAAAAGACGTGGAAGTATGTGATAGTCGATTTACTGTATTGTCTGCTTGCCCTTTCTTAAGGAAAGGGCAATCCTATTTATGCCAAAGGAGTGTAGTTCTCTCATTTTCCATGACTTCCCATGACTAGCCAGGCTTGGTAACTGTAGTCAACATAAGAGAATCCCATAGAACCATCTCTTAGGTTCCTAGCCTATAGGAAGTGAAAAGGAGGTCCAAGGTCAGAGTACCCCTATAGACAAATTATGTCATAACTTAACCAATCTTGTGGTTAACTAAGGAGCGATGATGTGTAATGAATCATAGAGGGTCGTAGAAGCTTTTGGAGCTATCGTTCATGTTCCTAGGCCTCTAGTTGGTAGAGATATGTCATGTGGTGGTATTAGCCCAGTAACTAAGGAGTGATGATGTGTAATGAATCATAGAGGGTTGTAGAGATATGCTATGTGGTAATATCGGCCCAGTAACTAAGGAGCGATGACGTGTAATGAATCGTAGACGGTTGTAGCAATCATTGAGTAGTATTGCTCTTGTTGTTGGTGTGATAAGCCAAAATATGTATAGTGACTTGTAGGTTTGGAGGAGATTTCTAAGTTTGCTCTTGAGTTTGATAGCAAACTGAGTGCAACGAATGTCAGTATGACACTCACCCATAATCAAGAAATTTTCGAAGATAATAACTCAACAACAACTTAGTAGTATATTTTAAAAGTGTGTATTCACCTTTATCTATACACATAGATTCATTTACATGCAGTTTTAGAGCAATTAGAACGATAGATATTGAGATATAACGGCCTAGTCTAAATTTCAGCGCCTACATCAGCGCTTACACTTAATATCTCAAGAATTAATGCATAGATTATTCCTAGATAATTAGGTAGGAATTTAACGAAGTATAAAAAGCTGGAAATATACTTTTAATATATATTATTAAGCTGTTGTTGAGTTATTGCCTTGCAAATTTCTTGATTTTAGGTGAGAAATTCAGTGTCCGACCCGCTTGTGTGTCCGACTCGCTTGTGAAATACGTTACTGTTTAAAATGGCTGCTTAATATTGTTTCAGATGGACTTCCATATCCAAACGCCCCTCTATAATCCTTTATAACCCCCACTAAAAATACGTAAAAAAATGGCTGCAATTAGCTGAACTCCTTACTCGCTTGTGGAGGGCTCTCTGTGACTGCGACAGACTTCCTCGAGCTCATAGCTGGCAAGTAAAATGCAGGGTGGAAAACGGTCATAGCTAGGGTTGCAATGGCAATCATTCTTCGTGGTCGTTAGTAAGATGTATCAAATGTTGGAAGCTATTTAACTTACGCTCCGTCCAGGGTCAAAAACTCGAGTTCGTTCTGCATCAGTGGGTTTCCCCAGCCGCCAGCCATTTCAGGGAGACTAGAATTCGTTAGCCGCCAGAAATAATGCTGGTCATATGGATATGCACTCACCGATAGACACAGCGAGTCAAGATAGTGGTGTATGCGATAGAAATAGCGATGCAGAACATCCTCAGCTTGCGCTTCTCGCCTGCATTATACTCGTTCTTCTCTGTGGTCGGAGTCCCGACCCTCTTCGCCTTCTTATATCGGAAAACATACGTCGCAGCGAGAAGCCCACAGACAACCATGGTGGCCACCTGGAAGGAAATACCAGCAACGATCAACCCGTTGCCGGCATCCAGCAGCTTCTTGTTGCCCGTGTCACCCGCACTCGCTGCGACGCCGCCACCAATGGCCTGGAGAACAATCGATCCCAGATCACAGCCGACGAAGATCCATGGATAGAGGCGAGCCTTGAGGAGCGAGTGTTCCGGTCCGAAGTGAAGGACAAGGTGCTTCATCGTCAAGTAGACACATGCCGCGAGGAATGACGGCCCCAAAATAATACAGCAGATCTGCATCTTGAACCCCGCGGAGTCCCACGGATTTTTATGCATCATCACTCTCCCCACATACCCCAACATCTCCAATCCCGACCCGATTCCCAGGGCCAGCGCGAACGTCCATGTCTTCCCGCGGATGCCGATGGCGAGGCCGGCAATGAACAACGCGCCGAAGAATGCGGTGAAGAAGACGTTACCCCCGAAGTTCGGATAGTACCCGTAGGTGGTCGCGGAGACCGGACATAGGTTCGACACCTCCCTGCAGATCTTGTAGTACATCTCGACAACAACAACGACGTTGGGACCTGTCCGCGCGCAGGATACAGATATGTCGAAATCGACTCTGAAAGGAAAGAAAGGAAAACACGTCAGAGAAAGGTAAGGGATGTCAACCAAATAGAAAAGAGATAATGCAGCTGTCAGCACAGTATCGGACATCGGAGCTTAAAGGTCGGCGGTTAGAAATCGTGCATCGTTTTCACAAGAACGTCCCTAGTGTCCCCACCAATTGACCCAGCCCCAAAGCCAAGGCCTATAGGGGCGTTACTAGGACCAGTTGGGGAGCCACTAGGGACGTTCTTGGGTGCTATCCTGGGGGTCTCTTCGGCGCTTGGCCAAAGAGACAGTGATGCCAAGAGTCTAAAAGGCGGATGTTGCTTGTGCCGACCTGGATCCACCAAAAGCGAGGTACGAGTACGAGCCAGCCAATGTACTTTCTTTCCGTCCGGAAGCGAGGAGGATGGATGGGGATGGGATCCAGGCCACAATTTTGCTGACGTTATTCTCTGTCTGTCAAGCTGTCAAGGCCGAACGAATTCTCCGCGTCACCCAGCTGGGTTGGGAGTTTGAGTGACGATGCGCTCATTGTGTGTTCGATGTTCGGAATATGTAATATAAGCCGAAGGGTCGTCCCCAAGCGGACGTGGTAGGTGTATCTCAATAGTGCGTCGCCTTGAACAGAAAGAACTGAGTCTTGTGAAGCATGGGCTGTCCCTCACGCTATGGCAATGCTTGTCAGTGCAGCATTATTCCTAGGGATAGGCATCTAGAATGTCATTTCTTGTTGAAGAAGAACAGCTCGCACCTTGCTCAAACGCCACCCCGATCGCCACACAAAGATCCGGCCTCGCGTGGTCACCCAGTCTGCCGATCGCAATCCTCTCATTGGTATTGCAGTTTCAAGTTTCCATCGTTATCATGAACTCGCAGCCAAGCCGCAAGTATATGTGATAGGTAATGGCTTCAGCAACTATAGTTTAGAAGGCCTGAGCAGTGAATATGAAAACTCCAGGCACGACGAGTGTAACTGTCCAGGCCATTACTATCCAGGCAGGAGTGATGCCATTGCGCAAGATCTTTGTTATTCTGGTGTGAGGATCATGTCTCCAGCGGAAACTATATCCATAGATGTTTAAGAAGCAATTCTGTACCTTATCTGTCCCAATTAATGGTGTCCAAGTTGCTGGCAAGGTGATTGAGCTTTCAGCAATTCTTATCGCTGAAAGCCAGGTGAGACATGGCAGGTGTGATGGGGTACTTGTACCGTTACACTGTAACGTAGGTCGTGGCCATACCGGGGCCATGGCCATACCGGGATGGTGGGGTAAGCCACCCCTTCAAAATATGAGCAGCTTCAAAATAATTGAAAATAGTTCTACCATTACCATGCTAATTCATCTATATCACTGTCAAATAGCTCCTCCTCACTCCCATCATCAATTAGATCAATTATAGATGTTGTAACTTGTGGAGTTGTTGATATTTTCGACTTTTGTGATGTAGCTGTTGTTGCTGCTTCTGCTTCTGCTACTTGCGACTGCAACTCCTCAGTTGTGATGTGGAATTGACCCTTCAAAACTGCTCTCTTGCCCTTATTTTGTACTCTGCGCTTCTGAATAATTGAGCGCAAGTTATCTGTCTCCCTTTGTTGTAGTATGTGGCATGTATTGAGCCGCTCTGTCTCATCTGCTAACTTATGAATATATCGCTTTGTAGTAGTGTTGAGAATGCCACGACTTATTGTAGAAGAGAGAACTGTATTTGCTTTGTGAAGTGTCTGAAAATGAGGAGGACTGCTATTCAAAAATACTTTCTCAAAAATATCATGCTCTGTTGGAGTCCTTGGCCGTTCTAAGGGTGCGTCTGTTGTAGGAAGTGTAGCTGCGCGTATGACTGTCTGTGGCTGGAATGGCTGTAACCCACTCCCTCTCCAAGCAGAATTAATATTTAAAATTGAAAAAGCAGCTGCTCTTGCTTGTATGTATGCATCCATCCATTCCGACTTCTGTATGCGTAGTAGCTGCAGGCGAGAGAGAGCAGTTGTAAGGTGTTTTTTCAGAGGTCCAAAAATTGCAACATCAAGTGGTTAAAGTATATGTGAGGTATGTGGAGGTATTATAAGGAGCGATATTCGATTCTGTATGCAGTGTGATATGAAGTTTCCGCTTATATGGCTATCATGGCCATCACAAATAAGGAGCCTTTGTTGTAGTTGTCCATTTGGAAGTGTTGCTTTTGCTCTTGTAGAGGGCTCAAAAACGCGTTTTAGCCACTCTAATCCATGAAGATTGCTTGTCCACCCTTTTGTATTTGCAGAGAAGTGCCATTTGCTTATAACCTCCTTTGGAATCCAGCTCTGTAGTATATTCTGTCCCTTGAAGATAATGAGGGGGTCGGTGGTTGTTCCATCCATGCAGATGCACTCAACAGCAGACACCCATTCCTGCCGGCCTGGATGGGCTTGAAAACGCGTCCTAAGGCTTGAATCCACGATAATTCTTGTTGATTGCATTGTTCCAATTGAAAACCCAGTCTCATCCATGTTGTAGGTGTTGTGATTTTCGATTTTTAGCTCTGTTGTGAGGCTCTTGTACGCGTCAAACCACGCCTTCAACACCTGCTTTGTGACCCCATTCATCCTTTGTGCCTCAACCCTCCTTCCTAACTTAACACGTAAGTTAGGATGCCTTTGAATGAACCATGGCACCCACTCTTGCCCAAGAGGTAAGTTAGGGATTTGAGGTTGTGTCTGTTGAGTTGGTCGGGTCTGCTGAGTTGGTCGGGTCTGCTGAGTCGGTCGGGACTGCTGAGTCGGTCGGGTCTGCTGGGTTGGTCGGATCTGCTGCTGAGCCGGTTGGTTTGATGGGGTCTGCCAAGCCACTAGTTAGAAATAGCCGAGTCTGCCAGTCTATAGCAGGTTTGATGGGTTGGTAGTTGACCTGACTGAGCTGGTCAACTAACTCTGTAGGTCGGCTCACCTGGGTTTGGAAGACCCGACACTTGTTTGACCGGACTTCCTCTGCAACCTCACGTAATATCCGATGGCTAGGAGCGTAACCACTTCCAGTAAGCTCTTTAATCCACTTTGAGAGGGTCTGCTCTTGAGTTTTTGATAGGAGTTGCTGGTGCTGGCGTGCTTCTACACGTGTGTGCCTTCCATTTATGCGACAGCGGAGGGTCTCCTCTGGTAGCCCTAAAGCTTTTGCAGCAGCATATATTGATTTGTATTGATTTGATTTAATAGCTAATATAGCTTTTTGAATTTGAATTTCGCGTTCTTGAGCCTTTATACTCTTCTGACGGACCATTCTAGCATAGTAGTAGTAGTAGTTAATAGGGTTGTAGGTTTGATGGGGTGGTTCCGACCCCACTACCCCCGTTACGCCATTACCCCCGTTACGCCATGACCTACGTTATGCAAAGGTACTTATTTCAGTTCCAATAACTTCAAATCGTCGCAAGTCCCCGAACATTGACCATATGAGCGAACACGCTACAAAGTGTAAAGATACAAGCCTTCTATTCCCCTTGGACTTTCATCAGTGGCACATAGTAAAAGAAAGGCCTCCGTGCATATTGACAAGACCCAACCATATTGATCTGCATCAGCTGACCTGCGCATAACCCGACTGACACGCATACAATTGGCCTCGAACAGTATGCTTACTTTGTACAGCGAGGCCTGAATGTCTTAAACGCCGTCGCACTGCTTTAGAGCGTGACAGTCGGTTATATGGCGGCTATGGCAGTTTTCAGCTTGCAACTTTCCAACGGCTTACCGTATTTATTCGCAAATTTCGGGCCATCAGACTTACAGCGGCACTATAACAAACGCACAGCCTCGCATTGAAAGGCCGGTAGGATTGAGGGGGCAGTCTATTTATATATGTATAGAATAGGGGATACATGGCCCTTGAGGGTAAGAAAAGGAGGGGGTTTTCAGTGTCGGATTTGCTGGGTGCGGGATGTGCGGCGGTTATCACTCCTCCGTGCATAGCATAGCCTATCCAGACGGGCAATAGCCTGTTGAAACGACGAATGAACTATTCCTTATGGCTAACCCAAACGGCGATTGAACTCTTCCTTATTTATGACTACTGTAGTGTATATCGAATTTGTATGTACAGGTCCATATTTTGAGCCGATTCCATAATCTATACTGGATCCTTCATGCGGGGTAAACGCCTAACCCCACGGCTAACGGCCCGTGGGGTTTAAGCTGCCCCGTGTGTACGGTCGACCCTTCACTAAACCTTCAGGTACCTTACCGGCGGAGGCCCATTTTTTTACATGGTTGTGACAGACTGTAATAGGGTGCCAGAAGAAATTTATATGGGGCATATGTGGGCTGAGTAAGACACCCTAAACAAGTCCAGGACTAGTTACCCGATAAAATCTCTCCACAACGACACAATCCGACACTATGATAGGTCTTTCGAGCGAGCTTAGCGACACCAAATATAACCAGTAAATGAAACTAATAATCGAGTTTTGAAGGACATAGTAATGAAATAGTCTCGACATAGTTTCGGAATTGAACTGTGATAATAACGGACTGAGTATAATATAGACTCGGATTTGTATTAGACTCTTATGATACTATTATATTACTAATTTGACAGTAGACACATTTTCGGAGAGTTCTAGGAGATAATTGATTTCATTTCCCCTATTTACTATATTCTAATATACAATGCCGAAAGTAATTCCAGTCGTAACCGTTTGATCCTCCACTAATGGCCATACGCACAATGCAGTAAAGACTTAAGGTCCACCTGTTGCCTTATTCGGACGGAAAAGGGGATAGAGAAGGACTCAAAGGACTGTCAGCTGCGCCGATCTCAGATGCAAGAGGAGTATCAAGGTCCCATGGCAGCGCCCTCATTCTCGGTTTGAGTAGACAGAAGCCGAGGGTCTAGGGGAGAAATGAGCTCTGGCAGTGTAGGCTCCTGTACATGTACAGGGACTGGCGTGGCAACATCAACCGCACTAGGACTAATGGTAGCTGCAGTGACATCCTTCACCAACTCTGAAAGAAGATTGACCGGAGCAGCCTCATTCTTCACGAAATGACCAAGAGCGGCACTTCTCTCCTTGTCGGTCACAGTAGAGAACTCTGGGGCAGAGAAAGGCTCGTATCCCTCTTCATTATGGTCCAGAAGGGCGTTATACTTTATATGGGGGGAGACCTTCATGCCAGTCTTAAACTGCCCTGAACGACAGGCAATGACAAGTCGGAGTCCGCGCTCGGTGACAGGAGAGTCGAGAGAAGTTTGGATCTTGTCGCTGGTGTAGATGTGATCTGGGTCCATACTGAGAAGAACAAGGAAATCTAATTCGTCCTGATCATATAAGGCCTTATCCTCAGGAGACAACTTTATCCAGGCCTTCCTGAAGTCCGAAATGTATTCATCGGGCGTAACCCCCTTGTCCTCATCGTCACCGTCTTCGTTAGAGACATCATCGCCGTTCTCAGACTCTTCATCAGTTTCGTGCTTAGTTGGAGAGTAAGTTGCATCGGGGGTCTCATATGCAGGAGGCAAGTCGTCAGGACCCTCATCGGTATCATCTGTTTCCTGCTGGGTACGCTTCCGCTTCCATAGATTCCTGTTAACGGGGGTGAATGATGCACCCTGGGCGGGACCCTCATCATCGGAAGAGCCGCTGTCCCTCTCTGGCGACGCCGAATCGTTAGCATCAGGAACAGGCACCCGACCCCAAGCACGAAGCTTCAACGGCATAGTTTTCTGACCTTTTAATGCTCTTTTACCCTCATCGGAATTGTGCGGCCAACACTTCATCCCGGTTGTCATTCAAAGCGTCTGCGATGACCTGGAAGGATTCGGGAGAGCGGAGTTTTGTCAACACATCAATGATGCTCTTGTCGACCTGCTTAGTTTTACGCCAGGCGTCGTGACTGTTGACTACAGAAAGTCGCACGATGGTGACCTTCTCCTTTTGCGACACCTGCATTTATATTAACACCATCCTCTGTACATGTTTAGGGAGGGGGCACTTACTCGGATAGGTCGATAGTGTACCTGTAGCTCTGATGGCAGGTTGATCGCTGTAGTGACTGAGCATACCCGATGGCATGCCCCGTCTAAGTTGGCGCCCTGTGATGACACCTGATACATCATAACTAGGACAACCAAGTCTGACTGGGGGTCATTGAACTCCTGAATGAGCGCGATTCGCTGGAGGTCATTCAGACCGGCATGCAACACCTCTGCCCGGATGTATATCGACTTCAACACTGTCTCAATAAACCATGCTGAGACGGGAATATCCTCAGAGCACAGCAACTTGTTCCGTCCTCCGTCTGGTCTCCTTTTCACGCAATGATCCATCACGTCTTTTAGAATCCAACGCATCTTCAGAGAGCCGAAAGTCAAGTGGTGTATCAAATTGGCAGCGTCCTTGATCACCTGATCGCCCTTTCGCATAGTAGCATGTGCAAGCTGCAGTCCCGTGAAGCCTTGGGCTCGTAGTACGTTGATAGTTGCAACAGTGTCATCAAGGCGCTTCTTCCGAACCTTCGTATTATCCAGGGTGTCGTGGAATCGGCTTAGTATAGTCGAGACTGCATTTACCGTCATCGCCCGTAGTGGGCCAGTAATGCAAGGAAAGCTTTTGACTTCTGCCGTTGGGTTGATACGGCTTTGTTTCTGATTTGCCCATATCTCAAGGCCTTCTTCGTAATCCTTGACAAACGACTGATGGAAGAACTGGTACTCTGCTGCTTCCGCAGAACTCATCTTCAACTGCACTGTGGTAATTTCGTATGGTGGCATTAGGTTAGCCAGTGACAGCCGCTCCCCTTGACTATTTAAGGGTATGGAGGTTGCCGTTGATCGCCGAAGAAGTAATAGTCTTTCCATGCACCTGTAAAGCTTGTTTATCGTCGACTTCTCCTTGCTGTTTAGGAGTGTTCGAATCCGATATGGGTCAGCAGCGATTAGATTCTTCCATGATGAATGAGGGAAATCCTGCGAGACCAGGAGCTCAAAGTTCTTGTAGTTGCCATCAAGTGTTTGGATCCAGTCGCGCCTAGTCTGGTTCAAGTAGAGAGACTTGTTGATCTGTGGCCACAATATGTTCAAGGGGCCAAGATTGTCCTTATTCATTAGCTAGGCTCTGTACATGTATAGGAGTAGCTTGACTTACCGTGCTCTGGTTCTGGACCGGTGTGCCTGTAATGAACCAGTGATGCCGCGCGTTCAACCTCGCCACTGCAACATGGATATTGGTCAACGGGTTGCGAATCTTATGACCCTCATCTAGAATCACTGTATGGAACACCCCCTTCCACTTCCCAATCCAATCGGCTGGCTTGAAGGTTTTCTCGTCTCCTGGCTGGCGACGTGGCTTCTGAAGGGTCCGGCCTGCGAGGGTGCCGTACGAAGTCAATATGACGGTCTTTGCAGCCGACTTGTTAGTCGACACAAATCGAAGGGCGGCAGGGAACTTCTTTGGGGATTTGGGATAGCTCTTCATAGCTTTTGAAGATATCCATTTGAGGAATGACGCTCCGTTCGGTGGTGAGTCTCCATAGGCGAGGACCAGATTAATTCCCTTGAAGTGCTTTGTAATGTCCTGATGCCATTGTTCGATGACAGGTCCAGCTGGCGCTAGTATGAGATGGGGCCTGTAGTTTCCTGTGGGCATCAGGAGTGAAATATCGGAACACCCATTCTAGGTATAAACATGAGGTGAAGGTTTTACCTAACCCCATGTTGTCGACCAACACCCCTCCAAACGTGTGGGCCGTTTGAAGTAGGTCAGCTGCAGCCTGACCTTCTTTTGTTGGAGCAAGTATATAACCATACGCCTTTAGTACCATCCATAGGAAACCAGTGATTTGATGTCCTAGGGGTCGGATGCCGACAGTTGGAAGCGACTTTAGGGCGTACTTGGCAAGCGTGCGCTGCTTGTCATGCCAAGTATCAAAATGCGCATCGGCAATCGTAAGGCAAGCATCGAGTGGAGGACCAGTCTGGGATTTGTCGCCGGTAAATAGCTTCTGCATCTTGTAGAAGCCTGCCATGCTTGTGGCATCCTCTTCGTTTTCGCGAAGCTAAGAGGTAGTCAGTATTTGGGGGGTCTCTATACATGTACAGAGTTGGATGCTTACATCTGCATTTAGAGTTGTAGCTGTTGCCGCTGCCATACCACTCTGGATCTCTTGTCGGACAGCGCCAGGGAGACCTGACAGGTTTAATGCTGCCTTTGGCGCGACATTAGCAACACGTAACGTGCCAACAACCTTTCGAATGAAAGCCTCAATACCGGCTGGAGTCGACACATCGATGCCTAGGTGCCAGGCTTGTGACTCTGCCGATTTGCAGTCGCCAAACAGTTTATCTGGGGTCACAATGCCTCGAATACCATGAGAATTTGATCCCGTAAGCGCACCCTGTAAGTAAGACAACTTTGAACTGGTATGAGAGAGCTCTGGGGTTTCAGGGCCCTTTCCCTTTCCCTTTATATCAACTTGGGCGGGCGCTGGGGCAATATGAGTGCAAGGCGTCGGGTGATTTGCATGAGTGGTTGCATCGTCCTGGGCAGCAGTGTTCTCTGTTGTGGCTAGAGCCCCTACTTAATCACTGTATACCTGAATAGGGCCTCCGTCGAACTCGTATGGGTATGGTCCGTCTTCTTCGGTGTCCACTACCTTCAGAGAATATTCTATGCAGAACTTGCTCCCTGAGTGTAAAACTTCCAGAACGTCTGTCCATGGTGTGACCTGATCCGGGTTCTCATTGTCGTAGATAATCCATGGACCCTCCTGTGGAACATGTACAGGGCCAGGGTCTTCTGCGGCAGGAAGTGCAGTTGGGATCAAAGTCAGGGTGCTAAAGTCACACCTGAGCCTAGGAAGTGACAGCTCGTGGCGCAAGTGGTCACGCCACTGGGGGCCAATCTCGAAGTCTCGAATGTCGTGCTTATAGTCGACAATGTCCTGCGATAAGTGGATCTTCTTCCACTTGAGGTATAAGTTGATATGCTCCGAGAGTTGCTCGTCGTCCTCTGTTCCATCTTAGCGAACAAACTGTAGGGTAACTTCAATTGGGGCTGGCTTCTCTTGATTCATAAGACCGAGGATTGCAGATGCTCCAGGTAGCTCTTCAACTGTCTCGTTCCCCATCCACGAGGGGAGCCTGTCTGGATGCACTATACCAGAGACGAAATACTGGTTCTTCCCAAGTTTGGCCTTGATTGGAGCAAATTTTGATGATGTGGTCTGGTAGAGAAGATATCGGACACATGTGCAAGCCCTTGAGTAGCGTTCCATAGCATGCTCGCGGAACGTATCGAGAGGTCCGAGGGTTGGGACTAGTAAAGTCGTCTTGTCAAAAGCTGGGACAAAAAACCCCTTCACTCCAGACTGCTCAATGCGGAGCTTGGCAAACTGTGATTGTAACTCTGTGTCCTCAAGAGTTAACAGCCCAACATCCTCAAGAGCACAGGCGGTATGATGTATGGTTCCCGCAAACATGAGAGTAAGTGCTCGTGTTGTGTCCTCTGTATTGGCCTTATCTTCTTCGGAGCGGTTGTTGAAGTTGAAGACTAGTGTGTCGATATTGGTCTCATATTCATATGCATCAATGTCGTTGAGTGAAGCTTCTAAGATGGAAGTCGCTGTGACTTGGAGCTTATTCTTAAGGATAGTCTCGAAAACCATTGCTCCCCTCATAATTGGCCAGGACCACATCAGATCGCGTAGATATAGAGTGTCGGTGTAGCCAAGGTAACCAGCAACAGAGGCCTCAGCCAGATTTGATTTCACCCAAGTGAATTCAAGGTGAGAGCCCTGGAATATTCTGAACATGTACAGGGGCAGGGCACTGACAACACACAGTACTCTTAGCATGGCTGGGACTCCACCTTCAAAATGTGCGAAGACGCAAGGTGGGAAACAAGAAGCTGAGGCTAAAGATCAGGATGTGCCGATACCGTCTGGAAGCAGCGTGACTCAAGTTGAGGTAAGGTGCCTCCCTCTATACATGTACACAGGACTGATGTAGCGATAGACCCCATCAAGAAAGCGTGCCTCTGCTTCACAGACACAAGTGAAGAAATGGGCCCGTATTATTGGAAGCGTACATCCCAGGTGCAATGAATGAACGTTTTTGGAGAAGTAGGGACCATTATATATCTCCTCTGCCTCAATTTGTGGTAACGTAACTATTCGTCGGAACAAGGTTTGGGCGAATAGTGGGAGGTTAAGAACCATATCCCAAGATCCCTTCTGAACCAACTCTTCTATAAGTATGAAGACCTTGGGCAATTGGTCTAGGTCAGGAGCATAACAAACCAATTATCCGACCAAACGTAGTAGATGTGGTTACTACTATGTCGCCCTGCCTTAAAGTGCGCCGCCAGGAACTCTCTGTAATTGAATATGACAATTGTTGATACCAGCGGAAACGTGTATTCTTAAACATCACTCTGTGGTGGCCATGTTTGGTAAGTATCTCCTCAAATAAGTTCGAGAATGATTTAGTAAACAGTCGAGCTTTAACTGGAAGTCCCTGTAAACCACACTCAGTTCTTGATAGCTCACCTTGGACCCGGACATCAATATGAGAGCCACTAGCCTCTACATTACCGTGTACACGTAAGTCTGAGGTTAAGGCACGCCTATCAGCAACTGTTAGTAGAGATTCAAACACTGCTGGGCAATTATCCTTAATCCTTATAACCTGGGCGGAGGTCTCTGTACATGTATGGAGAAAGGCACCACACAGGGTAGACCGGAGGGTTGTAAATATACACTCTTGGATAAGTAGATCCCGTTCAGGCCGTCTGTGGTTTGTCCGTATAACTGCTTCCTTGAAGAATTTGTGCTTGTCTTCACCCCAGAACACGTTTGTATTCCATACACTTCCATACTCCTCCATCATTTGGTGGAAGTGAAGGGCGATATGGAAATTAGGAAGCCGGCCTGCATGACCAATAACACTAGCATTACCTTGGGTAGGGTTGACTTGATCATCAGTACTAGTTTCAACCTCAGATCCACTTTGGCTAAAGGTAGCATAGGACTGTAGGGCGGCCGATGCAACGCCAGGCCCTATATTGCTAGCGGTTTGCCTGCTTTCTAAGGTGCCTGACGACTTCGCCGCTGCCTTCATAAGACACAAGAAACTAGCTCTCCCCTCTAATATAACATTGTGGAAGTCCAGCCGCTCTGTAGTAGTAAGACTGATAGACGACACAAAGGAATTACTTCTTGCAATGTGCCCAAATGCACTCACAATAAAATCAACATCCGTTTTATTATGTATAGGCCGGGCTGTCACTGGACATTCACAGGCTAGAGCCGACTGGAACGTGTGCCATACATGTATTGTTTTCAGCCAGCGGCGAAGTATTAATGGTACGATAATGGACGCCTTCCCACATTCGCTCATTGACCACGACCGTATGTGTTTTTCTGGGGACTGTATTCGACTCCAGCCAGGGGGGAAGGTAAATTTCTGGAACTGTTGGGTGAACTCAATCTGGGCAGCTGGGGTTAGTAACGGACCATATAATATTGGGTAAAGCCTCCGAATGATACCAAGGAACTCACTATGAGCTGGATCTGGGGGGCGGCTCATAACAATGTCAAGAGATGGGATGACTGTCTGCAACGCAGATGGTTGGTCAGCTAATCCATGTTGGTGACCAAATTGTAGTCGGGTCGACTTCGAGGTAAGCTCATCCATCTGCCTCCGCAACTCTTGCACTTGGTAATGAAACCGCCCATGGCGCTTAATGTCTCTTCCGAGATTAGCCCTTGTATCAAGGCTTGCATCACAAAACCGACAGCAGAGGTTGGCTCTTGGTGAAAGGAATCCAGCCGACTGTTGCTGCCCTTTCATGTCACCCAGGATAGTAATAAATGGCGCCCATACTACTGTCTGCACCCCTTTGATAACCATCGAGCAACCATGCTCAAGTGTCCCTATACATGTACGGAGCACCGATATAGTGGCATCTAGATGGGAGCCATGGGGCCCTAGGGTCAGGGTATGACTATTCATGCTTCTTTGCCGCTGCTCGATGTCTAACCCAGCTGGCATCATATATATCCCAGTGATCGAGCGGTACATATTGCGATATAGCCCAAAGTCGTCAATGAACATAATTAAGGAGTGACTGGACTCCTGACATGATTGTAGCCACTAAGTAGTCCCGGCCGTATTGCTCAATCTCTATCCCTCCGCGCACTGGAATACTCCACTGAATATCAACAATTCCGTGGCTTTTGGTGTATATTTTAGTAACAACCCAAGGCGTCCGTACAACACCCTTGCCCCACTGTATGCTTATATCAGGTCGACGATGTAGCACTTGAGTAGGCTGTATCCAGAGCAAAGACCCGTCATCAAGGAGGCGTTCGCTTATAGACAGCCTTTCCACGTCCTCCTGTAGTCTCTGGGACTGGTATAGTATATCGTTCCGGTGGATTAATGGTCTTATGTGGAGGAGCACCATGTTTAGGGTAGTAGATGAACCCCGCCTATCACGCCCAATAAACACAACCTGCCCAGAATGCTTGGATGTACAGACGCAACAAGCAGTGTTGTTACATTTATATTGGACAAAGTCAGACGGGAAAATTGGCTCTCCACAACTGTACAGCACAAAGTCCATGCCACACGTGCTAATGGAAGAACCCCATGCTCGGGAGTGGTATAACTCAGTTGGATTATCCACAATATTGGCCATCCCTTGGTGTATAGGCTGACCAAGGGTAGATGATAGTATTGTAGCAGCAATAACCCGAGGGTCAAAGAAGTGAATATAGCTTTGAGACTTTGCAGCGATGCCTGAAGGCTGCTTGTCCGGACGTCTATTATTGATCTTTGAAGTGGTAGTAAAGGTAGTCGGCGACGACACCACTTTTGAAGTGTTGCAAGGTTCTCTGGGAGCTGAGTAAATTCCTCGTTTGGAATGGGTCGTAACACTTGGATCAAGGCCTTATAGGACTGCCGAGTAACTCGATGCGTATCGCACCAAATGCCAAATGCCATGGTGAAGTCTGATAATGGTGTCGATTGAGGGTTTAAAGCTGCTAGATCAATGACATCGTCACTAGCAAAATGAACCTTTGGATTGTGTTCACTCTCTACTGAGCCGTTCTCTGAGTAGTCGTCCTCTCGCACTATAGCATCGTTGTAGTCCCCCTGGAAGGCGTCCTCTGTACATGTATAAGACGACCCTGGTTCCATAATTGGCATTGTAGGCCCTTTGGTGTTGGATTGTGAGTCAGGAAAATCGGCAAGCTCGTTTTCATCATCGTCATTATAATGCGTATAATAATCTTCTGGCTGATTTAAGGTTAGTGAAGGAGGTGGCACATAGGATTGAACGTTACTTGACCCATTATCTAGAGCAGGAAGCTGCAGATGTTGTCTCCGGGTAGCCTCAGCTCAGTTCATCTGTGTAGTCTGATATACAACATGCCTCCGAAGATTTGCCCCGGAAGCTGGCCATCTATGCCTACGCCGGCGATTTGGATTACCAAAATACTCTGCAGTATATGTTGCATTGGGGCTTGAGTTCATTGCTATAGGTAGTAGGTTATAGAACTCCCAATTTGTATAGGGGGTTATATTGAGGTAAGAGTCGCATTATGAACAGTTGAATTAGATGACGGGGTTTGGCGATCATTCATCACGTGACACTGTATGACACTTCACACGTAGTTTACAATTTTTGAATTTATACCCCCCAATTACAAAATCACACACTTAAACCACCTTGTGTTGGTGTCTATAACAGGAAGTGTATAGGAGTATACTATTGGTATTCATGCACCCTCCCCCCCCCCGGCCCCCCCCGAACATGTACAGAAGGGAGGCTAATCCTGGGTTGTAGAATCAATACCATGCCAAAGACCTCGCGTCGCCCAAGACGCGCTACTAGAGGCACAACCAGAGGCACAACCAGAAGCACAACCAGAGGCACAACCAGAGGCGCGTCGCAGGCATATAACCAGGAAGATCACAATCATGAGAGCTCGCAAATGCAGGAATCTCAGACCTCAAACTCCCAATATCCATATGGTGCGCGCAGCATTGTTCACCACGACTCAAATAGCCCAGCATTGTCTCAGGCCCAGTCTTCGTCCAACTTAACCAACAATGAGGCCCCACCTACTATAATCAACTCCCCGACTTTGCAGTTATTGCTCCATATTCAACCCAATACCATTAGCCCAGCGCAGTCTCAAGTTGGACAGATCCATGAGCCTCCATTTCGTGTAGCGTCTTCCCAGCTTCATACCCAGCTAGCAACGACACTGTCCTTTGACAATGGTCATTTCAACAGACCTCAACCACATCGGAATGACACCGGCTTCCAAAATGCAACTGCTCTAACTTCGTCCCCACAACTTAGTGGTCGAAGTAGTAACTCTACAAGGTCCACCAACTCCCTGCCAGTCCACCGACCTGCTGCAAAGCGTATGAGGCCTAATGACAACAATTCTTACAATAGTAGCACCAAGCCCTTTCGGCAGGCAGAGAACCAGACCAAAGTGTTCGACAATGCAGCTTGGAAACAAATCCAGAAGAAGTTGGACCCTGAGATCCTTCAATATGGACGGGCTACAGACAAGGAGCTTAAAGCCATAGTAAATGAGGTTACCCTATCCATAGATTTCGACCAAAACTTTGCTCTCCGAGACAAAGCTCTTTATAAGGCAAGGGGTAATACAAATACGTGGAAGCACCGGACTATTACCTGCATGATGGTATGACTACTCGACCCCTTCTGTGGTGGCTTATCTGAACATGTACAGGAGTGGGTTAGCAAAACCCTTGCAAAGCCAGGTATAGTGGCCATGCAGAACAAACAGGATCCATCTCGACTATGGGAGGTGTTCGAGTCTGTTTATAGTGTTGTTGATGCAGAGAGTGTGTTTTGTTGGGCTAGTCGATACATCCTTTTCTATGAGAAAATAGAATCGAGTGAACCGCGTCCTGATGGGACAGCCTCAATTGCTTTTGAGAACTTGAAACCAAGGTATTGAAACTTCCCATCAAGTTGAATTACTCGATGAGGGTATAGATCTCTATATATTGCCTTAGCTTGACGTTCGAACCATCTCCCTCCTATCATTCATCCTGATGCACGAGCAGATGTAAATAACTCAACGAGGTGTTTTTCCATTTCAGGTTCCTGGCCAAGTTGTACTTTAAATTTTGCCCTCCTAGAAGCCTTATTTTGACTAGCAATTGTCTCCTTACTTTCAATCCATTTCTTAAGCATTATTGGAGTAATTCCAAGCTTTCCTGACGCCTCGTATCGACTGATGATTTGAGCCTTTCCATTTCGAATCACCATAGTTGTTGTGGCGTATTGAATTGCACGTAGTTTTTGCTCCCGAGTATATGATTTTCTCATCCGAACTAGGCCAGTTTCTATGTCAGAATTGGCCTCATTCGTAATGCCAGAACTTGCAGCAATTGCTTGGAATTCACGGACAATAGCGCTCTCATTTGGGCCTCCTGATTGGAGTGTAGAACTCGGGATTCGCGGAGGGGTAGGAGGCGGGGATAGTGCTGTAATATGGGGTCCTGGGTGACGGCGAGGTCCACCGAACGACAGTGTTGTCTGACCAGTCTCAGGAGCTTTAAATGGAGGCATTCGAGGCATTTTAACCTGTTAATACTATCAGGAATGCCCTCAGTTGTTACTGATGAAGAGATTTTCACTGCCAAGGCGAGGATCTCCACTTATAAGATATTATATTGACCTATAAGATATGGTCCCAATGTAACGTCCATGCAAGTATTCCCCCCTACAAGATAGTATCTTATAACCCAATTAATGCGGTATATCCGGTTATAGAGCATTCGTGGAAAGCAACCACATGGCAGCCTCGAGCGGCAGCCTCTCCTGACAGATGGCGGATAGTGCTGAGGTTCTTCTCTTTGTCGCCAGAGGCGTTTTCGAACTGGACTGTGGCAATTTTCAGGTCAGCCATACTGTCGGTGTGCTTCTTCTTTCCTGGGGTCGTTTTGTCTTTCAGAAGTTGATATTTATGGGGGTACAATAGTATATTTGACCTCTACATTCCCCAAACAACTCGGCGATTTGTAATTGGGAATATTTTGTGTAGCGGAATTAAGGTGTGGACTGCGAATGCCTTGCCAGAACAGACTCCATTTTCGCGGCGGTTATACGATATACGGGCAGCACAAGGAGGGATTGTGAATCATCGTTGGGCCGAAGTGTAAAGCGGACTGTGTGGCCTTTTGGAAACAGCGGTGGCGTATATTTCCCCGCCCAGCCATGAAATACGGCCCCACGTAATACCTACAATATTATAAGATAACTTAACAAGGTATCAGATATATAAACCCCACTGCATATAATTTAACTTCTAGGTCTTATTTTTGTAAAATATAGTTGAGCTAACGTTACTATAGTACCTTTTGTGGTTTTTAAACTCACTATGGAACGTGCGTAGATTTTATATAATATCGCTAATAACAGAAATCTAAATAAGCAAGTTCAAGAGGTGTCCAAGGTATATACCCCCTCGTATGATTTCAGACGTCTAACGGAAGCAGTGGGGCTATGAATCCTATAAAAGTTGACCTATCTACCTAGATAGGTATGCCGTCTCATCTGCATTACCACGATTCTTATTCTAGTAAATATTCTCGCCAAGCCAACAAAGTGAAGAGATGGTACATAGAGTGATATTCCCAAAGTCAGAGCCCCATTTTGGTAAGTTGTACGCGTTCTCATACTTATCATTGAAATCAGAGAAATTTTAGTCTCTTGTTTGTTAATAAATCAGAGAGCCCATCTAAAACAGAGGGGAAGTGTCATACTGACATTCGTTGCACTCAGTTTGCTATCAAACTCAAGAGCAAACTTAGAAATCTCCTCCTCAAACCTACAAGTCACCATACATATCTTGGCTTATCACACCAACAACAGAAGCAATACTACTCAACGATTGCTGCAAACTCTTCTACTACATCTGTTTATGCTACATACATCACGGCATATCATTTGGACACTCATTGAACAAGTTATTAAGAAAATCTCCTCCTTAAGGGGGTGGGCCAATACTACCACATGGCATATCTCTACCAACTAGAGGCCTAGGAACATGAACGATAGCTCTAGAAGCTTCTACAACCCTCTATGATTCATTACACGTCATCAGTCCTTAGTTACCCACAAGATTGGTTAAGTTATGACATAATTTGTCTATAGGTACTCTGACCTTGGACCTCCTTTTCACTTCCTATAGGCTAGGAACCCAAGAGATGGTTCTATGGGATTCTCTTACGTTCACTACATGATTAGCAAGCTAGTTGTGGGTCGCACTTGATTTCTAATACATTTACCAAGCCTGGTTAGTCATGGAAAGTCATGGAAAATGAGAGAACTACACTCCTTTGGCATAAATAGGATTGCCCTTTCCTTAAGAAAGGGCAAGCAGGCAATACAGTAAATCGACTAGCACATACTTCTATGTCTTTTCCAAGCTTCCAAGCATTGATCTTGTTATTCTCTGTTTTTGAAAAGTCAGTGAGGTGCTAACCTCTGACTTACCCCTGAGTTCCCGGACTCAACATTTGTTGCAACTTGTCTAACCCACTTCACCACATCATACACCTGATTGCTGCGTTGTGGAATAGTCTAAGCTACAACCCTTTGGCTCTGTTTCCTAAGACAGTGTGTTGTCTTAGTAAATTCATCCCTTCCTTGGGTGGCTAGATTCTCATATCTGGTGCACCCACCATTACAGGAAGCTCCGCGCGACTTTTCGAGTATACAAAAGCTCAGTTTCATCTCTAATCACACAAAGTCATCCGTTGATTTCTATTAACTTACATCATGAACTTTCAATCAAAAACAACCCCCGCCCCGGGAAATCCTCCCAATGTCCGGGCAGATGCTCTTCGCATTTTTTAAGTCCTCGAGTCAGGAGGAGTGGTTATTGTGCCTACTGAAGTGGGCTATGGATTGATGGCTACATCTGCGGAGACGATCGAGAGGGCCTTCGCTGCGAAAGCCACGCTCATGGTTTATATGGGACACACAAATTGCATCGGGCACTCCATCTCCTGGACGAGAAACGGTCCGAAATGGCACGCGTACTAGTTGAAGAACTGGACACGAGTCTAATGGTTGTTGCACCATGCGATAATTACCATCATCTCCTCCAAGTTTATCCCCAGAGACTCTGTCTAAGATCACCAAAGACGGTACTACTGCTATGTTCATCAGTAGTAGTCCTCTCTTGAAAGAGATCTGTAGGCTTAATTATGAATTAGGCCAGATTATGGTAGGATCTAGCGCAAACTTGTCGGGTGGGGGACAGAAGTTCCGCGTCGAGGATATCGAAGATGAGGTCAAAGAGGCCGCGGATTTGATTGTCGATTAATCGTCGGTGTTCGCACCGACCACCTTACAGGTGGTCGGCGAAAGCGAAGTGCATCCGGAAAGCGAAATTGCATCCCGCCAGCCAGATATCATTAGTATGTAGAATCTAATATAACCACTATCTAAACAACTAAGTTATACAACCAATTAAGTGATTAAATTATTAAATAAAATTGACGCTATTCTCACTTTAAAACAACCCTGAATCCAAATTCTCTTCTGTCCTGTCTGTAAATATGTCCTCATCCAAACCACTAAATCTTATAAATCCAGTCTCATCGTCGTCGTCTACCTGTGATCCCGACCACCCCATTGTTGAAATCAATTGAATATTGGCTTCTTCTTGAATCTCTGACTCCTGTGCAATTTTTTCGGGATCAGGAATTGGATTAAGTAAATCAGGAGGCACCTCCTGCTTTGCTTTTAACAACTATGTAACCTGCCACTTTCTTAAAAGCTCAGCTTTGCGGGCCTCAACACCACAAATACAAAGCTCCTTTTTGACCTTATTCAAGGCTATTCGTGCTCTGAATTTTGACTTCCGCTCTTGAGTTTTCTTCTCCTTTTTAGCCTTGTCAGGTATTTTTTTCCAAGCATCTTTAGCTGTTAATGGACCACACATTGCTTGAACAACATTGCGGCTTTTGACCTTTGCCTTTTGCTAGTTCGCAACCTTTTGTAGATAGTAAATCATACTATATAACAGCTAACTCTCCTTGAGCAAGGACGTTTTCAGTACCGCGCGCCCAAGAATCCCATTCTCATGCTGATGGACTTGACAAAAGGTATGGTATCTTTGCCTGCTAATGCTGTAATTTGAGCTCTGAATGTACAAATTTTGTCAGAGTCTGTAGAATTTGCGGTATCTAGAGCCTTGTCAGACAGTGTGTATACCTTCATTTTTTTCAAGGCTTCTTTAGGGTTTATTAGCCACATTCCAGCTTCACGAAATGCTCCTATAATTGTGCCTTTCTTGAATGTTTCCTGGCAGATTTTGCCTAAGTCTCAAAAAAATGAAGCAATATTGTAATCAATATCAAGATTTCGCATTGCATATTGAATTGCCTTCTTGTGCTAGTGTTTGTAAGGCTGAAAACACCAACATCAAGCAGCTGCATAATATGTGTAAGATGTGATGGGAGCAGATATGGATGAATATTCATCGCTGTTGCTCGTATGACAAACTCGGGTATTATATGACTGATATGACTATCCATAAGAAGGACTTTTATTGGTTTATTAGGCCTAGCATCAGAATGTTTAATGAAATGCTCTAAATAAAGCATTGCTTGTTCGCCATTTGTATATCCAGAATCAGAGAGCAATATAAGCTCTGCTTAGCTTTTCATTATACCAGGACTCCATATGTTGTCGTCCTTGTATAATAATCACTAGTGGAATCACTTGTCCAATTGCACAGATTGACTCGATTATAGTAATAGACCTGCAATTTTCGGCCATTGGAACATACATCTTAGTAGGGTCAGTTCATTTATATTTCAATGATGATAACTAATTGTACATACCTATACCTCCTCCTTAGTGCTACTCCAACATGAAAGCCAGTTTCATCAAAGTTATAGACGTTTTGTGGCTAGATATCATGTTGGATACACCATGACAAATATACTGAAAACCAGTCCTCTACTGCTGAAATATCATGAGTTGTAACTCGAAGTCGAGCAATTACTTTCGTTTTAACGACTCGAAAAAGGTTAGAATGGCTTTTTATAAAGCCCTGAAACCAGCGCCATGAAGGCGCTGGTTTCGGTGGTATTTCTACCGCCTACAAGTGGCTAATTGCTGCAAAAACCATTGCTCTTGATGCCCCTTAACCTGCATGATACGAATCTTCGACATATTTGTATATTGCCTTAATTTGTACCTCCGAGAGTATCTTATTTTGTCCTCCGCGTTTAGAAATAGGAGGCAATATTGGGGCTTCAGCGGCTTTCAACTTCGCTCGTCGAGTATAGGAATTAAGCGTCTTCGTATTAACATTATAAATTTGAGCGGCGGTGATTGGCTTTTCGGAAGGGTTCTTGCAGAGGAATTCGAGGGCTTGGTCCATTATACAGAGCAAAATTATCGCAGGTGCATAGTTGAGAGTGGGAAATGTATATATCTGGGTGTAAATCTCTGACTCGGCTATGACGGGATGCAATTTCGCTTTCCGAATGCACTTCACTTTCCAAATGCACTTCGCTTTCGCCGACCACCTGTAAGGTGGTCGGTGTGAACACTGACGGTTACGTTCTTCAATGCTATCATGTATATGGAAGGGTCTCTCTCATCATGGATTTTGGCCAGATGAAGGTTTTACGAATGGGGTCCTGTTATGAGTTGTTCCGCGAGCGCATGCAGAAATTTTGGGGCGTGGACTTGCCCGAAGACCCTGTTCATCTCGAGTAAGCTCTTGCTGTCGCCTTGGAGTTAATGGCGGCTCAACTTCCATTGTTGTTACTTGAATTATAATAATATAACGTGTCAGGTAGAGGACGTGCACCGGCACCATGGGATATGGTGGCATTTTGCCCTAGAATAGCAGTACTTGTGCGGCCCAAAAGTTTCCACAGGGTCTGTGTGTAATAAGTGGGGCATGTAAGTACTTGGAGAAAATGCATGTACATACTCTACGTACTTGTACTGATCTACCCACGAAAGTTGTTCCCCCCATTGACTGCAATACACCGCTCCAACTTGTCCTTAAACGAAGCACATAACTGTGTAGATTTCCCATCCATTTTTTTCCCCCATTCTTCCTCAAGAAATACCCGTGCATGAGCTCTCTCAAACTTCCCTCCATTTAATGGTGTATAGCCGTCAACCTGATCCTTGAGATAATCAAAGGCATTTTCAATAGGGTGCAAATCGGGAGAGTTTGGAGGCCAAAATTTCACTCTATAGATTCCCTCCTTCTTCATATAATCTTCCAATGATCAGTGAGCCTTCAATGAAGACTTACATTATCATCCACAAACCATACTTGTTTTACTTTTCGAAAGTAGGGGAAGAGAAGAGGAATAAGAACCATCTCTCGATATAGAAACCAATCAATCCCGCCCTTTGAAACTTCTTGCCCTTCTGATGCCATCCTCTACTCTATGTCTCTATATCTCCAAACTCTTGTGAAGCAACTCGTGCCTTTTTCCATTTGCTTTTGCCATTCCGAATATCTGCATTTAGAGTTTCCATATATCCGTACTCAAGAGTTCCAACTGTTGTTTGTAAGGATGCCTCCGTACCTAGATACTCGAAGAACCTGTCTCAGAACTGTTACGGTCACTACAAGCATGGAATCCGACTCGGTGGGGTTTCGAACCAGTAGAGGAGCATATAGCGAGTTACACTATAGTGGGGGACGGTAAGTGTATAGGGCTCAGGGCCGATGCAGACCTGTTGCGGTGGAAGGTTCAGGGCTAGGGTTGGGATAACCGAGTCGGGCCCGTTTCGGGTACTTAAGGAAACAGACTCAACAGGGTTCCCCCTTCATCTTTTTTGTATCCTTCGTAGTAGACCTATAGGATAGCATCCATTTAGCCTCGACTCGCACTCTCATATGCTATTACTGTGAGCTGGGTGCCCTGCGTCCTTACATTGTTGCTCTAACAAGTTCATTCTCTGCTTTTGATTTCCAATATGCATTTATCTCTCGTAGTTTCTGCACATGTATCTGCTTCTCTTCTATACTTTCAGGAATCCATGAACGAGAAGCGTAAGATAGAGGTTTCTGAACTCATTGCTCCCCAAAACATAACTTGAAATAAAGATTTCTTCTGTTGAATTGCCATGCTCTCTGCTGTTTGACCCCGTTGAACTGTTATCTGTCGTTTCTTATGTGGATTCCCTCCGAAATTGATATATGATTCGTCTGAGAAAATAAAAATTGATCCAGCTTCAAGTTCGGATAGTACCCATTTGCAGAATTTCCATCGTACTGAAGGAATGATATTATCCAAGTAGGGCTTGAGGCAGATGTTTTTCCGTACAATAGGTTGTGGAATTTCAACACTTGAGTGATTCTTTGCAACTCGTTCGACAATTGATCGTGCGTAGGGTAGATTTTCCTTATTAATAACTTGTTGAAAAGTGTCAAATGGATTTGCAAGTAGCAAAGATCGTATGCGTAGTGACTCTTCAGAATCCTTTTGAATTGTCTGTGGTCTTCCGCTTCGTGGCTTTGATTCGAGGTGTTGGAGAAGGTTGTGAATTTCAGTATTCCCTGCCCTTTTAACAGTTTGGTGCCATATATATGCAATAGAGTCAGCTGAGATTCCAAGCTTCTTTTCAATCTCTCCATATGATGCGTTCATGTATACACGCAAGGTAATAATTGCAGCACGTAGTGGTATTGAGATTTCAGCCATTGTTGAGCATTACTTCATTGCTTCATTCACTCTCATTTTCTACGCGTGTACATTTTCTACGCGTGTACATTTTCTACGCGTGTACATTTTCTACGCGTGTACTCGGGTACAAGTACATGGTGCTTGGTAGATTCCTACAATCTAATTGGCTGTTGTGCATCGTCGGGCTCCCCAATTGGTGCTTGGAGTGAGCCGATTGCCTCGGAACTCTGGCGCATTAGGTTTCGGGCGCAAACCCTTCTGCTATTCAGGGGGTTTGGGCAGGCCCTCCGAATAACATAAATAGTACGTAGGCTCCGTAGGTAGTCTAATTATTCAATTGATCTATATAATATATTTGCTGTATTCTACTGTGAAGCTTCTGCTCCGTTGCCCGAAGGATTGATTACGGCAAGTTAGTCGGAGATTACCACACAGATTTGTGTGTAGTTCCCGCAATTACCTCCAACAGTAAAGCAGCAATAACATTACTCGGGTTTTTATTGGACTATACTTCTACAAGGGGGAAGACGATCATTGCACGTTTAACAATTATTGACCCAAAGTACGAGTAACGACTGTGCTGCACTACGGAGGTTATGTTGATAAGTTTTGTGAGTGGGGGGGGACTATAAAAGCCAGGTACAGGGCTGCGCGCAAATCGATGGTGTATCTCGCCTCATAATTCATATGTGATCGATACATGAGTTTATGCTGTTGTGCACAAGTTCTGGGGTCCCATGCTCGATCCACTCACAAAACTTTTGAACATTACCTCCGTAGGGAGGTAATGTCTCACATGAGGCTCTTGGAAGTTCCCAACAATGTGCATGATGATATCCGGCACGGAATGCAGGCAGTAATTGGGCGCAGGTGTTATACACAATGTACCGAGGCTCGTGCGTAAAACAAAAACACAGGGCGATAAGTCAACGTATTTCATTCGGTACTGAGTAATTTTCATTATGCACGGGGCAGTCTTGGAAATGGGTACTACCGATGCTTTATCGTATGATCCGTCGCAATAGATCAATCCCGATGGCAATTCTTGTGCACCCGCCAAGCCCAAACCCATGGCCAGCATCTATCGCTTGTTGTCTATTAATGAACTTCAGTGCATCAGCGAGCTCCAGTGGAAAGGAGGGTGACTGCATCACCACGACTATTCAAATTAGCCAAGGTATTAGCTCTGCATAAACTCATGTATCGATCACATATAAATTATGAGGCGAGATACACCATCGATTTGCGCACAGTCCTGTACCTGGCTTTGCTTTTATAGTCCCCCCCACTTTCACAAAACTTATCAACATAACCTCCGTACACCTCATCTGCCGAAGAGCACACGAAAAACGTTGTGCGTCTACGCCATACTACTTGTGGTTATAATGATTACGGAATTGTGAATATGAAACCTCGAGTATGGAACTAGAGTAGATCCTTTCTACGTAGTACGCAATACTGAGATTCAGCTAACGGAAATGCAAGGCGGGCCTAAGGGGGATTCGCGCGGGATTTGATCCTATTCGAGAAACGGCCCAACCGCATTCGGAAGGCGCGGTGAAGGTAAGGTATGTAGCGCTGATGTAGCTTTCAGATGGCGATGTCTCTGAGGAATACTTACAGTAAAGCCGACTGACAACAACTCGCCCACTCTTCTTTTCAGTTCGCCACAACCAGTCTCCAATAAACTTGCTGGTATAAGATGAGTAATGTAGAGTGGGACCCTGCCAAGTAAAGTCATGCATCTGACAGAGCTGGTACTTCTAGATCAATCTGTACAACCAACGTCAGCTAATAACGGGCTAGCCAAGACGCTGTTGCTACCTTGCTGGTATAAATGGAAAGGGAAGCCACAAAAGCTAAGAAACTCAACCTTCGCCACTTGCATCAGCAATATACAACAAAGTGATTGTTTTACTCGGTTGTCTAATGCTTCAGTTGATGCCTTTGAGCCAAATTGTGCTGCTGGCGATCAGCGCACTGCCCCTCACATCTGCGGTGTCATGTCCGTATATCGGCGGTAATGGTGCCCGCGACAATGCGGGCCGTATCCCCCATCCCGAGTCAATTGTGGAGCCTGGATACAGCCCTGAGGACCCTGGCTTTGGGCGATGCTCAAGGAAAAGCAAAGTTGCTGGCGGTGGTACTAGAAGCGAAGACTGGTGGCCGTGCGACCTTAACCTGGCGGTGCTGCGTCAGAATGGAGAGAGCTCAAACCCCTGGGATGCCAAATTTAACTATGCTACTGAGTTTGCAAAGTTGGACGGTATGTAATTAGCACTGCTAGGCGCATTGAATTCTATATACGTTGGAAGTGCATATACTAACAGCACTTTGTAGTGTCCGAACTCAAAAAGGACCTCACGGAGTTACAGACAAACTCTCAGAGTTGGTGGCCGGCTGACTTTGGCAACTATGGTCCTTTTCTCATCCGTCTATCATGGCACAATGCTGGCACTTACCGAAGTGAAGATGGCCGTGGAGGAGCTGGTATGGGACAGCAAAGATTTGCTCCGCTCAATAGCTGGCCTGATAACGCCAGTCTTGACAAAGCTCGCCGGTTGCTATGTAAGCCCACAGCGATGTTCAACTCCCACCCATGGGGGTAAGTCAGATGAGAAAGGGCTAACCATCCATGTTTAGGGCCTATTAAACAAAAGTATGGCCGCAAGCTCTCATGGGCTGACCTAATGGTATTTGCCGGTAACATGGCAATGGGAAATATGGGCTTCCCAACATATGGCTTTGCCTTCGGTCGGGAAGATACGTGGCAATCGGATGAGGGAATCTACTGGGGCTCTGAGCAGGAGTTTTTCCCTAGCCCCAATAGCAACAAAGACCGCTATAGTGGAAGCACCGATATCCATGGGCGAGCAAAGAATCTCGAGGAACCACTCAGTGCGACGAACATGGGACTCATTTACGTTGACCCGAGAGGCCCCAATGGCACACCCGACCCAAAAGCATCCGCTCTAGATATCCGCGTGACTTTCGGTCGCATGGGTATGGACGACGAAGAAACTGTTGCTCTTATTGCTGGAGGTCACGCCTTTGGGAAGACCCATGGTGCTGTTTCGGAGGGGTTCATCGGCCCTGCGCCCAACGCTGCTGGTATTGAGAACCAGGGTCTGGGGTGGAAGAATAGCTTTAACACTGGTGTGGGTAACAATAGTTATACAAGTGGTCACGAGGTTATCTGGTCCAAAACCCCCACCAAGTGGGCTAATGGTAAGTCCGACGTTTCTTGCTAGCGATCGAGTTCTTTACTGACATGTAGTCAAACAGAGTTCCTGGGTTCTTTAATTCATAACAATTGGACCCTTGTTAAGAGTCCTGGTGGTGCGCCTCAGTGGGAAGCTGTAAATGCTGATGCTTCTTACCCCGACGCATTTATCCCTGGAAAGCTTCACAAGCCTACGATGCTCACGAGCGATCTCGGCCTCATCCATGATCCTATATACAACAATATCTCCAAAGCATTCCTCAACGACTTCGATTATTTTACGGAGAAGTTCGCCTTGGCTTGGTGTATGCTACCCGCCCAGCCCCAACCTTTGACAATTGTCGCACTTTACTGATCCTTACTATAGACAAGCTTCTTCACCGTGATATGGGTCCTGTTTCACGCTATCTTGGGTCGGAGGTCCCTAAGGATGAGCACCTTCTCTGGCAGGACCCTCTCCCTGCCGCAAGCTACAAGATAATCGACGATGCGGACGTGAAACGGCTGAAACAAGATATTCTCGGTGCACCGAACGTAAATATCTCCAACCTGGTAACCACTGCTTGGGGCTCTGCTTCAACCTTCCGTATCTCAGACAAGCGTGGCGGTGCCAATGGAGCCCGCATTGCCCTGCAACCTCAGCGATCCTTCTCAGTCAATAACCCTGAACGCCTGGCGGCTGTCCTGAAATCTGTAAGTAGCGGATGCACTTCTACCTCGAATGGACGGGCCTAGCTAATATGTAAATACTTGTAGCTGCAAGAAGTTAAAGACAAGTTTAACTCTGCCAACAAAAAAAAGCAGGTCTCCCTAGCCGACCTCATCGTTTTGGGGGGTACTGCTGCCGTGGAAAAAGCTGCCGCAGATGCCGGCACAGCTATCAAGGTGCCTTTTACCCCTGGCCGTGTCGACACTACTCAGGATCTGACTGATGTCGAAACCTTTGCTTACCGTAAGTCTCTGGCTGATATTACACTCAACTACCTCTCTAAAATACGCGGACATGGCTAATTTTCTTTATCGCAGTCGAACCTCGCACAGATGCCTTCCGTAATTACGGCCACGGAAATTCTCGTTCACTCACTGAAGAGATGATGGTCTCTAGAGCTGCACTTCTTACGCTCAGCATCCCTGAGATGACAGTCCTTGTTGGTGGTATGCGTGCACTCGGTGCAAACTACGACGGGTCAGCCTTTGGCATTCTCACAGATCGCCCTGGGCAGCTGACCAACGATTTTTTTACCAACCTATTGGACGCGTCCACCGTTTGGTCGCCTGTTGCTGATACCAATGAGGAGAAGTTTGAAGGCAAAGACCTCTCTAGTGGCAGCCCAAAGTACAAAGCCACGCGTGCTGACCTCATCTTTGGTTCACATGCTGAGCTACGTGCGGTGGCTGAAGTGTATGGTTCTGGCGATGCGCAGGATAAGTTAGTCAATGACTTTGCACGAGCTTGGGTCAAGGTCATGAATTTGGATCGCTACGATGTTAAGTGATTGGCGTAAATGAACTAGGGCCGAATCAGAGTGTCAGAGAATGTGAGGCTATGAGTAATATAATTATACAGGATTCAAAGGATCCTGAATATATAATTAGATATTAATTGAACTGAATTCACCGGGTCACACGAGAGAAAAACAATTCGCTCCCCGTCAATTTCCTCAGAAGCGCTGATGCCTCTGGGCTGTCTCTTGGTCCCTCTGGAGCATACCAAGGGACTCCAGTTTTTGGAACTCGGCTCACAGGCCACAGAACTTCACGCCCTCTCACATGTAGAGTCTGCCTTGAGATTTTATTGGCCAAAAGAGATGCGTCACTAACTGACCTCGCCATCTCGACGGACCAGGCATTTCCAAATTTAAACTTGCGTTCATCGCCTCACTTTTGCTGACCATGTTACGCAAATCCATCCTTTACTCAGCACAGGAATAAGTAATATCAGCTTGTGAGGGTATTCTCGCATCAGCAATGCAGACCGACATCTAGCATTAGCAATACAGAACCACTGACTTTTCCAATGAGAATCTCATCTTCAATAGCCAGACATTCCAATGCTCATATACTCCGTGCTTTGGCGCGAGCTATCGATGCGTCAATAATTACATTATGGTATGAGATCCAGACTTCCGCTCTTGCCGTTGAAATAAGCTGTTAGCTGGCTCCCTCCATTATTGATTGACCTACCGACGTCACACAGCAGGTGGAAAGTGGGGGTTACCGCACGAAAGGTGCCTGCCGAAGTAGAATATTATTTCAATACATCTTCAACGGAACTGTAGCTGGGATTGACGCCTAGCGTGCACAATCCTAGCACGTATATACTGTACCTGTTAGAACTGTACCTGTTAGAAAATATAATGGGGTTTGGGAATAGTACGTAGGTCAGAGCCTCGGCAAGCTGGGTCGCAAAAATCTCGCCTGGCTGCATTAAAAACTGGACTGCTATAGTTTTCGCTCATATGCTACAAAAACACCATTCGTTCGGAATTTTCAAAGGGTATCATGCATCGTCTGAGTTGAAAAATCGGCGCGGTTGCGTTCATACCCGTGACATGGCCGTTCTTTCTATTTGTTGTAAAGGGTCGGTTCCTACGCTGCCTTACAGCCCTTCAAGTAGGGTGCGTCATCGGGGACCGGTGGTATGAAATGATATTACTTGCTCCGGGTAATGACTGCCCATTGTCTGCATTAGCCGTCGGGCTATTTGGTGCATGTCGCTTGCCATGTTTTTCATATTTTATCATTTGCATCTTTTCGCATCTGCTGCATTATTTCCTTCTACCTCATCGCTCTAAACTTCTGCGTCTAGAATCTGCCTTCTGAGAGCTTTCCGGTCTCTAGTTTCAATCGAACTTCGGAATATCTCAATTATAGGCTCTGCTGTAACTTGTTGTCAAGATGGTTTCAGGTGGTGGTGCCGCGGTTTACGATGTCGCACTCAAGCGGCGTGAGACCCTCATGGGCAGCAGTGGACCTCTCGCAATTGTCAAGAACTTCAAGGTACACAATCGATCAAAAAGAACAGGGCAAAGGCACAGTGGCAGGACTGCTTCTACCGATATTCAGGCCGCGAGTCTGATATTCGAGCAGCAAACATTATTAATAGTATCGAAGATGAGGATCTAGATCCAGAGCAGCCTGAGAAGCTTATCTTTTTCAAGCCGGCATATTTGCTTAAAACGTGCATGATAAATTGATCCTGGTGGAAAAGCCAATAAGTGATTAGATACAAGGAAGGTTTGCAGTGCAAATACGCTTGTTCGAGGGTGGCAAGAGTTAAAGCAAGACACGGCACATGAAGTTTCAAATTATCATATCCCTCCTGGCTGTCGGGCAGTACCTGCCGTCGATTTGCAAGGAAAGCTGCATCTCTGGGTATTCATGCCAAATCGTTCGTTTTTTCCCGAAACCAGTACCAAGTCTTCAAGCTATAGAGACTGCTAAATCTATATATGCTCCTATCTATAACCCCCCTCCTCTATATAGTTTTGAAGATCTGCGCAAGCTACATAAAGTGTAAGGATCGTAAGCCTAAGGGCCTCACGGGAGTCCAGGGAACCAGGTCAAGAGGCAGGAAGGTATCGTATTCTGTAAGCACAATAGGTCTACGTAGATACATCGACTATTGACTGGAGGCCTTCTTCCGAGGCCTCCAACCCCTTTTATCTATGCACCTTGTGCCCTATTTTACCGAGCCCTATGGGCCGCTTATGAAAGGGACCTCACGTGGTGGCACGTGATGGCCTTCCTTACAATTACCTCCCCTCTTAGAGGGATTGCCCTCAATTCCAAGGTTTCGCAGCTAGGGCTTACTTGCCCTCCTGGCTTGTTTAGACTTTTTGTTTTGACCCGGGTGGTGGACTTGTTTGGGTGTGCGCTTGGTGTGCTGGTCCCGTGACCCCCCTTGGTTGTGGGTTGCCGCGGCCACCCCCTTTGTTATGGGTCTCGCGCCAAACTCCTACTTCCTTCCAAACTTCCTATCGAACTTCCTGCCACCTTCATCCTCAACATCACCTTACTTCGCCTTTCGCCCTCGATCTTAGTCCCAACCTTTGGGGCCTACACAGTTGCTTGTTTCTTTAAGATAATCACTTCCTTTCCACCTGGATTGCAGGAGCTTATCGTTACGGATAGATCTCACATCGTCCAACCCTCATCATGGCTCCCAAGCCAAAGGGGAAGGCTCCAGTTACTACACCTCGCAAGCGACCAGCGGCCCAGATGTCCAGCTCTCCCGAGTCGCAGGCGCCCGCCACGCCTGTTCCATCTGTTGTCGCCTCCTCCACATCACGTTCTCGCACTATCCGTCTGTATCGTTCGCCTGAAGTCGAGGACGAAGCTGAGGATCTCGAAGGCTCCGTCGTTCCTGAGTCTGAGGCTCCAAAGGATGAGCGCACCGTGCTTGGGTGGAAGGTCGCTGCCCGCTGTGAGGTTCCTGATTCTGCAGGACGCCTTCGCGCTGGCTCCCGCCCGTGCTGCATGAAGTGTGCGCACACATATTACAACTTCCCAGGCCAGATGTGCTGGGTCCCTTCCGGCATGGCCAAGTGCGCAGACTGCCTTTGGGGCAACCACGCGTGCGTTCCAGTAAGGGACTCCCTCCTCATTGTTTGTTTGTACTAATGGTTGGGTAGGCTGCTGCCCAGCTTGGCGCCGAGTTGGAGTCCCTCCAGCTTGCGGCCGACGCTCTCCTGAACTGTTGGGCCGACGACGAAGATGCTGGCCTTGCTGCTGATTCTGAGGCTACTGTCTAGGCCATCAGTGCCCTTCACGCTGCCCAGCGCGTATACAGCAATGCCACCGAGGCCAATACCATTACGTTGTCCCATCCTTGCTTCCTTGTGCATGCTTCCTGTGATATGCCTCGATTAACGATAGCCCTACATCATGTTTTGGCACCCATTGGTCGTCTGCGGCTGTATAACCAGCCCATCTAATAAGGTATTCCTCTCTCTGGCCCCTGCCTCATTTGATTATCCTGTGGTCTAGGACCGCTTCTACTTGGTATTCTTCCTCACCGTCCACAATTTCTGGGCTAGGTGGAGGGTTGGGTTCCTCTGTGTTTTTCCAATACCTTTCTAGTAAGGACACGTGGAACACGTTGTGGATCGCCTTATACCTTGGCGGTAGCTTCAACTGGTAAGCCTGCTTACCGATGCGCTGGGTGATCTCATACGGGCCAAGCCAGCAGTGCCCAAGCTTCCTACTTGGCTGGGTGGTTCTGATATTCTTGGCTGAAAGCCATACTTTCTCTCCTACCACGTACTGCATTGGCTTGTGCAGCTTGTTGTAGCCTCATATTTGGGCTTCCTTCGTCTGTTTCCATGCCTCTTCGAGCTCCTGTCGCAATTCTAGGATCAGGTTGATGCGATCTTTCGCGACTGGCACTTCCCTTCTGGTGGGGTCGTCCTCGATCCCTTGTCTTAGGTCTATATTGATGCCGTATCGGGCCTGGTTTGGCGACATCTGGATGGAATCGTGGAAGGCGTTATTGTAGGTCAATTCCGCGAAGTGGAGGAGTTCCACCCAGTTGTCTTGGTGCTGATTACAGTGGATCCGCAAGTAGGCTTCAATATTCTGATTCTGCCTCTCGGTCTGGCCGTCGGATTGAGGGTGGAAAGCGGTCGATAGGTTACGCCTTACTTTGAGGTGAAAACAGAACGCTGACCAGAAGTGACAGGTGAACACACTCCCTCGATCCGTGATTATTTCGGCTGGGATTCCAAAGTCCTTTACCCAGAACGCAAGGAAGAGGCACGACAGCTCTGGGGCCGTGATGGTTTTCCTACAGGGTATATATTTGGACACCTTAGTATAACGATCAACAATCACAAGGATGGAGTCTGAAGCCTTGCCTTGATCCGCCCCTACGCTTGGGGGCAGATCCGTGATAAAGTCCATACTTATGGATTCAAATGGTTTCGAGGGCATTCTTAAGGCCTGCATTTCGCCATATGGCCTATGCCGCACGGGCTTGATGCGCTGGCATCTATCGCAGCCCCGTACGTACTCCCTGATTTCCTCGCTGAGGCCAGGCCAGTAGTATTTGCGTTGGATCAACTCTTGGGTTTTCTTATATCCAAAATGCCTGGCCAGTGGGTCGTCATGGCAAATCTTGAAGATTTCCATCTGCACTGCCTGATTGGGAGGTATGTATACCGCTCCCTTGAAGCGTAGGATGCCTGCATCGTCTACTCTCCAATCTGAAGAGCCCTTTGCTCGCGCCAACCCAATATCCTTGGCCCTTTTAACAGCTAACTCGTCAGTCGCCTGGAGGGTTTTGATCAAGTCTATTAGGGGTTCAGACGCAGCACTATAGGCGCTCTCTCCCTTGGCTACAGCAGCTACTGCAACCCGAGGGACAACGAGACCTGGACTCTTGGTGTCCTTACTATGGTCATCGCCCAGTCTTACGCTGCTAGCATTTGCCTTCCTACGCTGTAGGTTAGGTTCTCCTATCTGAAAGCCTACATGGCTTGTTATCGTCCGACTTATCTGCGGGATACCTCCTGCCTGCATGGCTTCTCGGAGCTTGTTCTTAAGGGTCGGTAGCATCACATTCTGGCTACCCTTTTCACCCTCATAGTCTGGTCTCCTAGATGGACCATCTGCTGGGTTTGTTTTTCCCGCTCGATAGGAGATGTGGAAATCATAGGCTGATAATGCCTGCACCCACGGCGCTTGCCTCCTTGTGAGGGCGGTGGTTTCCATAAAATACTTCAGATTGTTGTGATCTGTTAGGACCTCAATTGGGTACTGGCTTCCTTCGAGGCAGTGTCTCCACTGCTCGAAGGACTTCACGATCGCCAGGAGTTCCTGGTCATGGACTTCATAGTTCAGCTCTGCTGGATCTAGCTTTTTGCTGAAAAAGGCAACTGGGTGCCATTCGCCCTTCTCTTCTGGCTTAGTTCCTTCCACTAATTGGGACAGGTTTGCAGCGAGTGCAAAGCCTGACGAGTCCGTCTCGAGCCTGATTTTCGGCATGGGTTGAAATGGACCAGTGTGGGGGCTGTAGTGAAGGCCTTCTTCAACTGGCCGAAGGCGCTTTGCTGTTCCTCTCCCCACACGAACGGGCCTGTCTGCTTGCCTGCCTTTGCCCCTTTCATAAGGCCTGTCATTGGGGCCACCACGGAGGAGTATTGCTTTACAAAGCGCCGGTAAAAGTTGGCAAAGCCAAGGAACACCTGGACCTCTCGATGGGTCCTAGGTATTGGCCAATCGGCGATTGCAGCAACCCGGTCGCTTTCTATAGCCACCCCTTCCGTCGTGACAATATACCCAAGGAAGCTTACCTTCTTGGCATTGAACTCGCACTTTGAGAGCTTCACGTATAGGTTCGCCTCGCGTAGGCGTCCTAGGACCTCTCGTACGTGGTCAGCGTGTTCCTCCTCCTTCTGGGAGTAGATGAGGATATCATCAAGGTATACGACACATATGGTGTCAACCAACCCTTGTAGGGTCTCATTCATGTACGCTTGGAACGTTGCAGGTGCGTTAGCCAATCCAAAAGGCATCACCCTGTACTCGAAGTGTCCGTATCGAGTACGGAATGCTGTCTTCCACTCGTCGCCTGGGCGAATACGGATGCAGTGGTAGGCATTCCTAATATCAAGCTTCGTGAAGCACCTCGACCCTTGGAGCCGATCCAAGGTCTCCGTGATCAGTGGCAGCGGGTGTCAATTCTTCACGGTAATCTTATTCAAGCCTCTGTAGTCTATGCAGAGACGTAGGCTTCCGTCCTTCTTCTGAACGAATAGGATGGGCGCGCCTGCAGGGCTTACGCTCCTTCGGATCCAACCCTTCTTCTCGCTCTTGTCGAGGTATTTACGGAGCGTGGCCAGCTCCGTTTCCGATAGGTTATATACTGGCCCATACGGTGGTTCCTGGGTCCCAGTATCGATGGCATGGGTTTTCCTTCCCAGCTCTGGCAGTTCTTCTGCCTTTTCCTCTGAGAAGACTTTGATATAGTCCTCGTATTCCTTCGGGCATTTGGTAGGTGCGCTATCATCTGTGTTTAAGGCCAAGACAAAGGCAGCATCACCTTCCTCCCATTCTTCAATATCCGCCACCTCGGCTCTCGCAATATCGAAGGCCTGGCGCCAGGTCTGTTTGTGCCAGTCGATCTGGGGGTTGACCTGCGTCATCCAATCCATCCCAAGGATGACGTCTACTCCTGGGGTGTCCATGGAAAGGAGGG